TTTAACTGCCGAAATAAGCGGTTTGTCTTCAACGCTTAAACATTATGTAGTAACTCAATTAGCTCAACCATTTTCTAGTGTTAAGAAATATGATATTCATCTGTTGTATCTTATTCAAAAATTAAAGATATTGCTAGTAGTGGAACAGTACTCAACTATTTGTATAAAAATTACTAAAACAAACATTTACTTTGTTTTACAATGAGTTATGTTGATTTTTTTAAAATAATATGTAAATTATAATTGTTTTGAACACATATTTTGGCTAAAAATTAGTAGTAACTATTATATGCCTATAATTCGAAGTGAAATGTTTTATGATTGTTTAATTAACTGGAATCGAGTTATGCGTATCCTAATTGAGAGATATAACTCATTAATATTCACACGGTATAAACGGTTTTATCTCTTATATTTTTTTGTTGTTGTTTTGTCTATATATATATATATATTTTGCCCCGGGTTTTACAGGAGAGATTTTAATTGTGTTAACCCCAATAATGCCCGATATGTTACGGGAAGAGTTTTATGTGCAATTCCTATAAGGTGGGATTAGTTTAACCCCGGGATTTACGGGATGTCACGATATGTTACGTGAGAGAGAAGTTTTATTTGTGTTAACCCCAATAATATGCGATTGGGAAGCCCGAGATGTTACGGGAGAGTTTTTATGTGAAATTCCCATACGGCGGAATGGGTTTCACCCCAGGCGGGTCTTGCTCGGAATTAAGAGCGAATGTGATGTATTGTTTTGTGTTTTGTTTAAAAATTATAGAGATAAAACCACCGTTAATTTTGATAGGTTCTTTCCAAAATATCTTATTTAAGATTAGTTAAATGTGACCTCCTACTTTCAGTTTAGTTTATGTCAATTCTAATGTAAATATATTAAAATAGTCTGTTCCACTTACTAATTTGATTAAAAGTTAATTGAGTTCACTCCATGATATAATAAGCAGATGATAAAACTTGGGCACGCATGGCAGTTAAAATATTTCTCATGACACGACATGTCATTAAGCACCGTTGGCCAGGCGGTATGGAAAGGAAAAAGACTAACCGACAAGAATAATAGCGGCCAATAAATAAACAAAGAAGGTGACGATACCGTGTATAAAGTATTGAAGAAGATGGTGACGGCTAAAAGCCACAAGCCGCAGTGAGCTTGAGAAAGAAGAAATTATCCATTCACCATACCTCGACAAAGCAGAGCATACGAAATATATGCTGACATGATGAAGAATATATGCATACATGGTGATGCATACATGGTGGAAAATATAATTATGCCGACATGAAGAAGAATATGCATCCATGGTTATGCATACATGGTGGAAAATATAATTATGCTGACATAAAGGAGAATAGGTGCATACATGGTGATGCATACATGGTTGAAAATATATGTTTAAATGGTGGATTCCCTAATTTGGATCGCGTGTGAAGATGATTATGTTCGTGTATTTCATTTATCATTTATATGACATTCATTTGTGTGACGATTTTTCCGCGAACTGTGTTCCCACGTAGATGTGCCTTTATTCATAGAATATACTGATCTAGGTTCTAGGACCAGTGACGCTTATACTTTTGTGAATATTTTTAGTTTCGATGTTGTGCTTCTTGTATATAACTTTTGCGACACTATATTTACCCCGGCGTTACTCCGTAGACTACTGAACATTTTTTTTTTAACCATTGAAAATATCTGCTTTTATTGTGATCTAAATTTCAATATTGTATTATGCTTTAATCTTTTATTGTTTTAAAATCGTTTCATATATTATTTTATATATTCCACTATTTTAAAATTGTGGTTAAGGGAAGAATGTAATACAATATCATTTGGGATCTAAATTTTATTATTGTATTTTGAATTCATATTTTAAATTATATTTTTCATTTGTAACTCATTTTGGACATGTGACAGATTAATTGTAAAATGTAATCTGCATCAGGTGTGTGAGGGTTATTTCATAGTATTATATAAGATATAATGGGTTACTCAAACAATGTATAGCCGGCTTGTCTTAGAGAGAGAGAGAGAAATGGGGTTTAACGTCCACTCGACACAAACTAGGTCATTTCGTGACTAACATATGGTTTAATATTATTTACATAATTCGCTTGCGCGTAGGGGTCTTTAGCAGTGGGAGGAAACCGGAGGACCCGGAGAAAACCCACGAGGTTGGACAGGCGACCCTACTCCTTGCCACGTACAACCGGGGATTCGAAACCACGCCAGTCGACTCAATGACCGACTTTATGATACAGCGCGCGCACGCTAACCATTCAGCCACCCAACCCCCCGGCTTGTCTTAGACAAGTATATTATGATATAAGGTTTAGGTAACAAGCATTAACACATATTGTCTAGAGATAAGATGTGTGAATCTTAATAATTACTTTTCATTGTTCTGATTACTAATGGTATTAACTATGGCGTGCCTTAACTGATATAAAAAGCCTAGTTTACAAGCAGGCAGGAAATACAAAGGAGGGACAAGAGAGACCCGTAGAGGCTGAGAGGTCTCCCGGACCTCGGGAGAGGGTCTGCCCTCGACACCGGGCAGAGGGGTCCTGTGAGGCCGAGGGGAAGCAGCTATAGCTAGACGTAACTTTACCCAACCAAATGATGTTATTATGTACCTGTAAATATGTTATCCAGTATTAAAATATCTTTTTAATAAATAAGAGTTATGTATTCTATCACAAAGATTGCCATTCAATTAAGACTTCTGGCGTATTTCGTCGAACATAACTGATTAGAAATTACATCAAAGACAGAAACGGTTGAATGTAAATCAGTTTATATACATTCACATTACATTATTATATGTGTTGCGACCCATTTGTGTCAATTTCTAGGTCCCAAATATTAGCGATTTAGCTCCTTTAAATTTTCAAATTTTTCGCGGGAAGCGCAAGGCCTCTCCTTCCCCATACACCACAAGGACCGACTTCACCAGCCGTAGACTAAACGATTGATTGGTTGTTTGGAATTCAGACTAGCCAGCTAAGTTAGGCTAAGCCTATATTGGCCCACGTTGAAATTGCTGTATCCACGGGTTGGAATAACAGGAGACGCATTTGCGGCCTTTAAATGTTCAAAATTGTCTACCGACGGTTGCGTCTCTTGTGGACTGTAAACCATTGATTGGTTGATTGGAATTAAGGACAACCACCTAATGTAGTAATACCTGACTTCTTTGTTGTGTTTTCTTCGTGATCGTAAATATAACTACAGATTAAGTCGTTTATACAACTTTATTATTAAAACCTCTTAGCATCAATGTTACTCGTTCTCAATATCGTGTATATAGCTTTGATGGCTGCTCTGACAGACTGGTGAGCTCTCCTGAATTTCACTCAACACCCTCTTTTATAACACCCCAATCCTTTTACGTCATAGACGGACCTTGGTGTTAATTCCCTTCAAAGTATGGAATAAACATCCCCTATACCCCGGAGACCGAGAGGAGAACATTGCCTTATCTGGTCTACAAAACAAATGTCTGTCTGGTTACATGTATTGTTTGTTTAAACATCAGAGAAAAGAAAGTAATAAAATAGGCTAGACATATAGCATATACACATAGGCCTATATTTGAATAGGCAATTTTTTTTAAATGAAGACATTAAAATTACAGGCTATACTGTCCAAAATACCAAAGAAATAACTAACTGGGCGTCAAATCTTAGTTCCTCCCCCTCACCCCTTATAAAATTAACTGTGAAATTACAGAAAAGTATAGACGAAAATGCTATAAGTCCTATAATGTATCTTTGTATATATTTTATGATATAATTTTAGTTAAAGTAGTAATTGACCGATGTCCGAATTGATATTTCATTAATCTTTCAAGTCTTTTAACTGTTTAGGTTTATATACTTAATGTAACGATATGTATCGCGTAATTATAGTCATCCCAACAAAGCTGGTTTGGGTGGTTTTAGAAGCAGCATGGGCGTACCCTTTGTTTATTGAGCCAACGAACCTCCCCTCGAATCAGGGTGCTAGGAAATTTGCAATGATATAAATCGAAACGCCACCATAGGAAGTTAATGAACTTTGGCATGTTCATACCTTATGTGTCAGTCCATACTTGGTAAAATAAAGATCTTGGAGCCATCAAAACTAGAGTTTGTGTGCTTTTTGATGTAAAATGGACATAGGCCCCTTTGGCTTTTTTGCGTGCTCAGTTAGCCTAGTGTGCGATATTTTAGTATGTTTGCGGTAATAGTCTTGGGTTTATATGTATATATATATATATATATATATATATATATTGTATACATTATTAATCCGAAGACGCCTATAGAAGACAGACAGCTAGCGTATATGATTTAATGTATGTCAGAATGAAGTAAAGTGGAGAGTGTTTTACCAGGAGTATTTTTTATTTTTTGCATTAATATGTCTTAAAATGCCCAGTTTGCCTAGTGTGCGATATTTTAGTATCTTTACAGTAATAGTCTTGGGGTTTTCTAACTGCCAAGTGATCGTTTACGTGAACACCAATGCGTACATGGGACCTCGGTTTTTCGTTCATTCCGAAGGACTAGACAGCTGTCCTTAATTGACAGGCCCGCCATTCGGCCTTCACCAATGACAAAGGCCAAAGGGGGGAACCTTGCCATTGGGGCGGGAAGAGGATGGATATATTATGCATTAATAGGTCTTAAAAGTTAAAATAAAGGCAACAATTTTATAATAGGAAGGTAACAAGTATTATCGTGATTAATACAGGAATATGTATGCTATCTTCTTTTCGAATCCGGATGTAGGAATACGGCATTCGCTACACACAACATCCCAAACTTAGGCTGCCTATCTACAGCTAGCTCCGGCTGACATTCTGGGCAGTATGGCGTAGATGGGTCGCTGCGTGCAGTGTGTACACACAAGTCTCCGCTCACTCGGCAAACCTCGGCAGATTCCGGTACCTGTCGAGATTTGCCGAATGGATATCCGCTATTCAGCATAGTGTGAACTATGGAAGACAACTCTGTTTGGGAGATTGGGAATGCGAGTGCGAGAGGGTTAGTCTATTAGATAAGGCCAACGTCAAGTTTGGTCAAAGGTCACGAGATGTAAACACAGCTAGCGCTAATCCCAACCCTGACCCTAAGGCTTACCCTAACCCTAACCTACAATCTCGCCAACAATCACGTGCTCTAACACCTTATTGAAATCTCAGCGACCTTGACGGAAATTGAGTTGGCCTTAACAAATAGATCAAGCTGTTGAGAGATTGTTCAAGGAAGTAAATTATTCAATTTTTACGCAATAGAGAATAGAGAATTGTTTATAGACATCAGTTTAATTGTCATCATGTAAACCATTTGGAATATTACGTGATGGGTTATGTGTTTTCATTGATTGGGGTAAGTAGGCCTCTCTGTTTTAAAAATACGCTGTTCTAAAAACAAGATACTGTGTCACTCAACTTAAGATAACAGAACCGTATTACCATGAAAAGTTTTACTGATTCTACGAATTATGGCCCAAACCGGAGCAATCATACGCATCAATAAATAAGATTTCTGTCGTAAGAGGTAAACAAAGAATTGAATAACACTGTGTTTACGTTTGGCTCAACAAAACTAGAGTCGGTGGGTCGGTGGAATAAAAAACAGCATTAACTTTTAAAGGACCGGACCAGTAGTAAAAAAGAAGAAAAAGTTATGGATCAGCGATTGGTGAAGCGGTAGCGGTAATGTATGCGATAGAGCCTTAATAATAACCACATGAAAGTATATTTAGGAGTAGTCCTACTAGTTGAAACAAATTAGTTTCATTTGTCATAGGCCTACAAACAAGAGGGAGCAGTGCCCCCCCCCCCCCAACTTTCGTGCAATTTTACTTTTTAGGCAGACAGGTAAAGTGTAAACAAAAATTATTATTTCATCTAGTTGGCAAAATAAAGTGCCCAAAATCTAATTAAACACAAATTTTACTTTTCTTTCAATTGGTACTGAATTGACTAGGTCTATGGTTTAAAATATTTTGTCTGGACCCTTTCTGGTTCTGAATCCCCGGTTGTACATGACAAGGAGTAGGGTCGCCTGTCCAACCTCGTGGGTTTTCTCCGGGTCCTCCGGGAGGTTGGATGGCTGAATGGTTAGCGTGCGCGCGCTGTATCAGAAAATCTGTCATTGAGTCGACTGGCGTGGTTCTGAATTCCCGGTTGTACATGACAAGGAGTAGGGTCGCCTGTCCAACCTCGTGGGTTTTCTCCGGGTCCTCCGGTTTCCTCCGGGGGGGGGGGGGTATGGATGGCTGAATGGTTAGCGTGCGCGCGCTGTATCAGAAAGTCTGTCATTGAGTCGACTGGCGTGGTTTCGAATCCCCGGTTGTACGTGGCAAGGAGTAGGGTCGCCTGTCCAACCTCGTGGGTTTTCTCCGGGTCCTCCGGTTTCCTCCCACTGCTAAAGACCCCTACGCGCAAGCGAATTATTGAAATAAAATTAAACCATATGTTAATCCTGAAATGACATAGTTTGTGTCGAGTGGACGTTAAATCCCATTTCTCTCTCTCTCTCTCTCTCTGGAGCCACTCTACTTTGTGGTTAAATTTTCTGGAGATGATTGATTGGTTGTTTAGGATTCAGGTCAGCCACTTAGGGTAGGCTATATTTGACCACATTAAAGTTGCTGTATTTTTGGGCTGGAATAGCAGTCAAAGGAGATTGCGGCAATTAAATTTCCTGTGGACTATGAACAGTTAGTTAGTTGGTATTCAAGTCATCAACCTAAGTAAGACCATATTAGATTACTTTGAAGTTGCTGTTTTCATGGGATGGAATAGCAGGAAAAACCGTTTGTGGCCGTCAAATATTTAAAATTTTCTTGGTGTGGGGGGTCCTTACACAATTAACTCTCCGCCTTTGCCTTTCGCAGATGACCGATGCCAAGGTCTGTAACCCCAAATTTTTCGGGCATTTCAAGTTCTGCCCCCTTCACATTCATCGAGCCCGTACACCTATGTCATTTCTTCTAACCTGGTAGTCTTAAGTTATTTTTATTCAAATACTGATGTGATGTCATCCTCTGATGTTAGAGTACCGTTATTTCAAATAATGTATGGGCAACTTGAACATCGTGCATTATTTATATTATTCGATGAAATATTGGATTTGTGCGATATATTTCATCATTTACATAATATGAAATATTGGACTCGTGTGACGTATTTCATTGAAAAGGACGTGCGGGATAGTGTCTTTATTTAATGGTCTCTGTTGAGTGATTTAGTATAACCACTAATTTGATACAGACGTTATGACGTAATGTTGAAAGAGACTATAGTGAGTCTGCACGTGTAGTGGTCAGTTAGGGACAGTAGAGTTCTGGATCTCATGAGAGTAGGTCGTCTGTCATTATGCTACGTTGATATGCTTACTTATGGTTTTGTATATTTAGTTATTTCCTATAATACAAGTAGTATTATCCTGATCCTGACTTTGTTATATATATATTGGGTCTATAATACAAGTAGTATTATCCTGATCCTGACTTTGTTATATATATATTGGGTCTATAATACAAGTAGTATTATCCTGATCCTGACTTTGTTATATATATATTGGGTCTATAATACAAGTAGTATTATCCTGATCCTGACTTTGTTATATATATATTGGGTCTATAATACAAGTAGTATTATCCTGATCCTGACTTTGTTATATATATATTGGGTCTATAATTATGAAGTATGAAATGGGGCCAGTCTGTCATGCCAAGCAACCAGCAGCACGCATTATATATGAATGCAACATGGTGTCAGAAGTAAACAGGTTTACCTTAAAGTTGTGTTAGGACATTAAATTCGTTCATCAACTGAGAAGAGGATTGTAGCACAGTTGTGTTGGGACATTAAATTCGTTCATCAACTATGTTCATAAAGCTGACAAAATACAATGGCGAAATTGAGACAACCAGAAAAGTTCCAGTTTGACAAGCCCAATGAATGGCCAGTTTGGAAGCAGTCATTTTGTCGTTATCGCAAAGGATGCAAATTACACGAAGAAGACGGAGATATTCAGGTCAGTGCTTTTATCTTCTGTATGGGTGAAACTGCTGAGAAAATTTTTAATATGTTCACATTCGACGAGGATGAAGACAAGGAAAATTATGATAAAGTGTTAAAGAAATTTGACAATTATTTTGTGCCGAAGAGAAACGTCATATTTGACAGAAGTGTTTTTAATACAATGACCCAAGAAGACGATGAAAGCGTATAATTATTTATCAGGAGATTATATGAAGCCAGTGAACATTGTGATTTTGATGACGTTGACAGGAGAATTTTGGATAGACTTGTCGTTGGATTAAAGGATAAATCAGTGTCATTAAAACTACAAATTGAATCAAATACTTTAACTTTGGATAGAGCTATAGAAATCGCGCGAAATACAGAACTGGTGAAAACGCAAAATAAATTTGAAACGGAGGAGTCTAGACTAGACATTAATTCGATGAGTAGACAAGGTCACAGAAATCGAGACAGTTTCAAACGCTATAGCCCTCAGAACGCGTCGTCACCATGGGTACCGCGTAAATACTTGTCTCCGCAAAAGACATCAAATCCACAACATCTCTTTAATAAAGGATACAATAATAAACAATGTTTATATAAATTTAACAGTAATCGTGTACAATATGAACATCAAAGGAATCGGTATAGACGTAACAACTGTTCATCGTGTAATCGACGTCATAGTTATAATAATTGCCCAGCTTCACGTGAACATTGTAGAAAGTGTGGAAACTTAGGACATTTTGCTGTCAGATGTCATTCAAAAAGAATAAGTGAAGTTAATAGTTCTCATAATAAGCGGTATTATAATCAAGATAGAGAATTTGGACAAATGTGTCAAGAATTTGAAAATGCCTCAATTCAGAATGTATCTTTAGAACAGAAAGTAGTGCCTTCGAATAATTCGTGTCAAAATTCGTCCTCATTTCTTGGAAGTGTTTATAGTGACGTAAACAAATGTAATGATAAATCAGAACCACCGTGGCATGTGAGTTTGCCAATTTTTGGAAAGCTTATTGACCTTAAAATTGATTCAGGTGCGGATACCGCAGTATTTTGTGAAGAAACATATAGTCAATTAAATCCGAAACCGAAATTAAAACCGTGTGATATTGTTTTAAGTAGTCCAGGAGGAAAATTAATGTGTTTAGGATGCTTTAGCGTAGAAACTTTGTATAAAAATCAGTGGTATAGTTTTGATGTTTACAAAATTAAAGGACAAAGTTCTCATAATTTATTAGGTCATGCAACTGCTGTTAAAATGGGATTAATAAAACGAATTGAAACGGTGAATGATGAAGTTTTTGGACCAGTAGGATTATTAAATTGTCAACCCGTTCATATTACGTTAAAGGACGATGCTGTTCCTTATGCTGTTTACACGGCAAGACGAGTCGCGATACCGTTACAAGAGAAAACAAACGACGAAATCAAGAGATTAGTTGAGAATGATTTATCGAATCTGTAACAGAACCATCAGATTGGTGTGCGCCCATAACACATATTTTGAAACCTTCGGGTCAAGTGCGACTGTGCGTCGATTTAAGACAGTTAAATAAAGCTGTTAAACGTGAAAGATACGTCTTACCAACGTTTGAAGACATTTTACATAAGTTAGCAAATGCGCGTTACATAAGTCGGTTAGACGCTTCAGGTGGATTTAACCAGGTACCTCTCGACGAGGAGAGTCGGAAATTGACAACGTTTATAACATCATCGGGACGATATAGGTTTAAGAGACTACCGTTTGGTATTTGAAGCGCTCCCGAAATTTTTATTCGTATAATGCATCAGATTTTAGTAAATTTTCAAGGAACCACCACTTACATGGATGATATTTATATTTTTGGATCAAACCTCGAGGAACATGATAGAAATCTTCAAAATGTGTTAATAAGGTTAAACGAAAGTGGTTTAAAACTCAATAGAGAAAAGTGTATATTTCGGAAAACGGAGATTGATTTTCTGGGACATAAAATTACGCCGAATGGGGTAATTCCCCAACCTAATAAAGTATCTGCTATCAATAACATTGAAGTGCCGAAAAATGTTCCAGAATTGCGCCGTATTATCGGTATGATCAACTATTTAGGATGTTATATACCAAACCTTTCGAGTGTTATGCAACTGTTAAACGAGTTATTACACAAAGATGTTGCTTGGAGATGGGATAAAGCCCAAGACTTAGCTTTCAATAAAATTAAGGATATTTTAACTTCGAAACCTGTGCTAGCTGTATTTGACATTCATAAACCAACAATGGTTAGTGGGGACGCAAGTTCCTATGGATTAGGAGGCTGTATCATGCAAGAGCATGATGGTATTTGGAAACCCGTAGCATTTTGCTCATGAACTTTGACTGACGCAGAAAAACGTTACGCCCAAATCGAAAAGGAGTGCTTATCGCTAGTGTGGGCATGTGAAAAATTTGACAAATACCTTTGGGGATTAAATTCTTATCGACTAGTTACGGATCATAAACCTTTAATTCCTCTAATAAATAGGAAAGATATTGACCAAATTCCTATTCGCTGTCAAAGAATGATAATGCGCCTTATGCGTTACAATCCAATCGCCGAATACTCACCGGGAAAAACAATGCTTATCAGCGATACATTGTCAAGAAGTCCACAACGGGAAAATTTCATAAATGAACTTGAAAGTGACGTAAATATGTACATGAGCCCAATTGTGAGTTCATGGCCAGCTTCTGATAAACAGTTAAATAATATTCGTCAAGCTACTTTAAACGATGAAACGTCACAAGATGTTTTACGTTTTGTACGCGATGGTTGGCCACAATATAAACGCGATGTTAATCCGAGATTATATGATTATTATTCTGTTCGCGAGAGACTTACAGAAGTTAACGGATTATTAGTATACTGTAGTAGAATTGTCATTCCTGTGTCTATGCGTGAAGAGATGATAGAGCGAATTCATGCAGGACATCTAGGCATCAACAAGTGTCGAGAACGAGTAAATATGAGCATTTGGTGGCCTAGAAGTGTTAAAGATATTGATCATCGTGTTCAATCGTGTGAATTTTGTCAAAGTCAAAGACCGAATCAACATAAAGAACCTTTATTACCAACACCACTACCAGATCGTCCTTGGAAACATTTAGGTGCAGATTTATTGACTTTCAAGGGCAAGGAATATATGGTAATTGTGGATTATTTTTCGCGATACATTGAAATTGTTTATTTAAGTACTACCACAAGCCGAAATGTTATTCATAAATTTAAAGATAGTTTCGCGAGATTCGGAATACCAGAGTTACTAACTACTGACAACGGACCTCAGTTTGCATCTAGGGAATTTTCTAATTTTTGTTGTGACTTTGGAATTAATCATGTCACAACAAGCCCTTACTTTGCGTCCGCGAATGGTGAAGCAGAGAGAGCTGTACAAACCGCGAAAAAGATATTAAATCAACCTGATCCAACATTAGCATTAATGGTCTACAGATCAACCCCGTTACAAGTTACAGGTGTGAGTCCTACTCAATTACTGATGGGACGACAAATTCGTACAACTCTACCAACTTTACCAAGTACTTTAAAACCGAAATGGCCTAATTTTAAAAATGTGAGGAGAAGAGATGACAATAGAAAGTTTCAAACGCGTAGAAATTTTAATAGACATCACAACACACGCGAATTAGAAGAACTGAAACCGAGTGATAAAGTTATTTCCAAACTCGATGGAGAAAAGTCGGGTACACCCAGTGTTGTTATTAAGAAATGTATTCAACCTAGATCATACATAATTGAAAATAAGTTTGGTTTATATAGATGTAATCGTCGCCACTTACACATTGCTAACAAAGTACGATTTTCTGCTAATGCCTTTGATAAGCCTAATGATGTTGAAATTGATTTCAATTTGCCAAATGAAAACGATGATTATCGTCAGAATGTGAATCCACCTGATCCGCCTGATATTCAACCTCGTCGTTCAGGTCGTAATATTGTACCACCTGCACGATTCAAAGACTTTGTAAGATATTAAAAATTTAGATTAGTAAAGCAGTAAATTGGAATTTGAACAAAGTTTATTAGGTTATTAAGTAAATAGCATTAATATTTAGTTCATTATTATAATAGTAGGCCTACATCTATATTGTATTCAAACATGTCAAATTAGTGTCTTACAGTTTTAAGAAATTCAATTTTGAATGTTAATTATATAAAAGGGGGAGATGTTGAGTGATTTAGTATAACCACTAATTTGATACAGACGTTATGACGTAATGTTGAAAGAGACTATAGTGAGTCTGCACGTGTAGTGGTCAGTTAGGGACAGTAGAGTTCTGGATCTCATGAGAGTAGGTCGTCTGTCATTATGCTACGTTGATATGCTTACTTATGGTTTTGTATATTTAGTTATTTCCTATAATACAAGTAGTATTATCCTGATCCTGACTTAGTTATATATATATTGGGTCTATAATACAAGTAGTATTATCCTGATCCTGACTTTGTTATATATATATTGGGTCTATAATACAAGTAGTATTATCCTGATCCTGACTTTGTTATATATATATTGGGTCTATAATACAAGTAGTATTATCCTGATCCTGACTTTGTTATATATATATTGGGTCTATAATACAAGTAGTATTATCCTGATCCTGACTTTGTTATATATATATTGGGTCTATAATTATGAAGTATGAAATGGGGCCAGTCTGTCATGCCAAGCAACCAGCAGCACGCATTATATATGAATGCAACAGTCTCGAGCTAAAAAAATTGTATAAAATATTTAAAAAACACTCAGTCTAACGCCCTTGTGCAGTTTCAGTAAATTACTTAATGTCTCACTTTAAACCATTTAACTACACTTATTACAATATCTCCTGCTATAACAAATAAAAATACATTACAAGAAATAAACAACAAACAATTATCAATTCATTCATAACAAAACACAACACAGGGTATATATGGATATAACTACTTCTCTATAACTATTCATAACAAAACACAACACAGGGTATATATGGATATAACTACTTCTCTATTATTTAATAACCACGTTTCGTAACACATACAATTCACTCATTGAATAAATGACTTGCGATAAATTTGGAATAACAAAGTGGAGAAAAGATTGACCTGATTTCCTTGTCAATATAGTCATCTGAAATAGTCTCAGATAAAACCTCTAGGCATCTAGATTTTAAAAAATTTTCAGAGGGAGGCCCACCAGAGAATTTATTGATGTATTTTGTTGTGTACCGTACGCTACCATATCTTTTAACTTATAGTTTTACGATTCAAAATCATAAAAATATTAGAGAAAATTATCATTATTTTATTATTTATTGATTGGCCTACATAATACGGCAAATAAAGAGGCCTAGCTCTAGGGCACACTGTGAGAGTTTGTATTACTCTACACAGAACAGGTCACTTTCACCAATACGAATCTAGCAGGAAGTTGTAGTTGCAGGGGAGGAATTTAATCTGAATGATTTTAGAACCAGCATGTCCTTCTTTCCTTCCTGTAGCTGTATAACTTTGTATTATAATTATAGAGTGTTACAATCCAAGGATTGTTGAAAGATATTGTATTTTATGTAATAATAGCCTGGACCTAATTTTATATATTTTTATTACAGGTTTATAGTGCAACCATTTAGTATTATTGATAACTGGACATGTGATTAGCAGGAAACATGTTAAGAAATTACTGTTTCTTGTTCCTGTTTACTATTCTATCCCATGGCCAGGATGCAGATGCAGATGCTACTTTATGTTTGTTCGATACTAGTAAATGCATTGGTGGTGAGTATTAGTCCCGACAATATTTATAGGGTTAGGGTTAGCCCCAACAATATTTATAGCCATATTTGTAATATTAGGGTTCAGAATTAGCAAGGCATCTGTCCTACTAAACTTAGGCTATCTGTCTACAGTTTGAGTTAGCACCGCTAGAGAACCGACACTAGGCCGCTAATCACGATTTTTGTCGAAAACACTAAGAGAGAGAGAGAGAAATGGGGTTTAACGTCCACTTGACACAAACTAGGTCATTTCGGAACTAACACAAGATTCAATTTTATTTCAATAATTCACATGTGCGTATTGGTCTTTAGCAGTGGGAGGAAACTGATAGACCCAGAGAAAACCCACTTGGTGAAAACACTTAGAATACTTCTAGATACTGTTTTTGAACCAAGAACTGAAAACACTGCTTTCCTTGGGTTTTTTTTTTCTTGTGGACGACGCTCGTCGAAAAAGCCCACGACTCCGCCAATTAAATACGATAGACATGAAACTGGCATACTTGTTCCTTGGACAATTGCACACTGATTGATGAACTTTAATTTTGGATATGACGTCACGATTCTGAGATAACAGTGATGACATCATGCTCAGTTTCTGGTCCATACTTCTCGTACTTGTTCTGTAAACCGGTCTTCAAATTCCATTTATCTAAATGCAGACATACTTTATGTAGATTGGGAGTTTTTATTCATTTAAAACTTAAAACTATCAGAAATGATTTCTTTTACTAATGAATGGTAATATTATTGCTGGCCTGCAAAATGGTTAGTGTAAAACTCTGAATACCGGCATGAAATGTATTAATATTCTCTTGTGAATTAATTTATTTATTTACAGAGTTATTGACTTGACGGTAAAGTATTTATATAATAGAAAATTCTAATTTGGTGAATATTAAATAGAATGATTAATATATAAACAAAAAGAAATGCTGTTTTATGGCCATCAGGACCCACATAATTACAAATTAATTAATATAGATAAATGTGATTTATACAAAAGGGTTTCACCATTATAATACATTGTAATTTGTATATGTGTGATATGTGATAGGCCTTGGTTTCACTATTATAATACATTGTAATTTGTATATGTGTGATATGTGATAGGCCTTGGTTTTACTGTTATAATACATTGTAATTTGTATGTATGTGATAGGCCTTTAAAGTTAAAGTTTATAAATAGTAAAACTTTTAATTTGATTGAAATTTATTTGTTGATTATTTCTATATTAAGTACTGAGGACTGAGTAATTTTGTGTTAACATTTGTAAATAAATCAACCTCTGCCCACTCGAAGGATATTTAAATTTAATTGTACAATGCTGCTCACCTTTTTAATCGAATAATAAATTAGATAAAACCAATTTAACTTTTATATATCCAAGTGTTTGCTCTTGGATACCAAAAATTGGTCTTTTTTTGAAAATTTACTAGTTAAAGAATATTTCAAGTTTATTCACTAGAATATATCATGTTACTGTTCTTTTAAAATTCCACAAACCTAAAATCATATTTTCCCACAAAGCAAATGCTTGCTTATATTCAAAGTTCCCTTGTATTCCTGATTGCACCTCGTGAAGAGTAAGTATTCACAGTCCTTCACACAGTCTTACGAACTCAGGTCAACTTCTAGAACTTCACACAGTCTTACGAAGTCGGGTCAAATTAAAATGGTGTTTAACACCAACTGGGCTACTGAAGATAGGCATATGCCTTACATTGTGCTATGAAGGACGTTTCCGCTTCTTCATTGTCGAATTCCAAATGCCAAGGGTTGTTTTATGTGAATGTCCGCGTGCAAACTGGACCTTGTTTTTTGTTCTGTCCTACGAACTCGGGTCACATTAAAATGGTATTTGGAATGAAATGGGGTTTAACGTCCTACTGTTCTGCTCCTAACCTGGGCTAATGAAGACGGGCATACATCATACAGTGTGCTATGAGGGAAATTTTGCCCGGGCAGCGGCACTATCGCCTACTCTTATATCGAATTCCAACTGCCAAGGGATCTTTTACGTGCATTCCAATGTGTACACGCGACTAGACAGCAGTCCTTGTCAGGCCCTCCGTCCTGCATCACTGACAAGGGGGAACCATGCCGGAAAATCTGGATGAACTTTCTCGGCCAATGCAGGGATCGAACACCCGACCTCCAGGTTAGCGAACCAGCATCTTACCCACTTAGCCACATGATCCCCAAAATGGTGTTTAACCTTCTAATCTATTGTTTTACACCAACTGGGCTACTGAAGATAGGCATATGTCTTACATTGTGCTATGAAGGACGTTTTCACTTCCTCGTTTTCAAGGGTTGTTTTATGTGAATGTCCGCGTGCAAACTGGACCTTGTTTTTTGTTCTGTCTGAATAACTAGACGCTGTTCCTTCCTAGAACCTGTTCTGTATGACTGACAAGGCCCAGATTCTGTATATTTGATATACTTTAATTCATTTCTCCTTATTGGCCATTACGTCGCTTTTCTGGCGAACCGACGAATCTGAAATATTTAAGTATTGAGAATTATGCGCTTGAAATTTGCGTTCTGTTAGACCAACAATAACCCTAAGGGCTTATGTTACTAGGCCCATAAACAAGCATGCCCCCCCCTCCCCCCTCCACCCCTCCAAATTAATTAAGCTTCAACCAAAAAAACAAACATTTTCCAGGGCTTTGTGCACCCGAACCCTTACCTGAACCTGCTACCTTTCTCTCATGACATACAGTTTACCACTTGGAAGGCAATGTTGCATACTGATATCCGTTAGTTGTCGTCTGTCGGTCCATCTATGAACCCTTGTTTAGTTTTTTTTTCAGATTTGTGTAGATAGCTCATATGGTTATTAGGACGATTCCCTGGGGGAGCTCAAATGACAAAAATAAAAGGGTATCACTTATAATTGGCAACCGGTTGAATGAAGAAGGGAGGTCTTGATATGTGTTGATATTTATTGTAAAATGACAGCAAGTGATGACAAATACAACCAACATACGCCCTCCCTCATTGAAGTCATGTGACAAACAAGGCCGCTTAAAAAAATTGATTAAATTGTTTTGAGAGGGATTTGTCTAGACATCTTTGAAGGTTTTATAATGCCAGTATTTGTTTTAATAGAATGAATATTACTTTTCAGAATTAAAACCTGACAATCCATTTGTTTACATTGGTGATGAGTTGGTGTTGAATTGTTCTTTAAATACCCCTCAAGATGGTTCTTACAATGCATTGGATCTACGATTCACACATCATGATGATATAGATGTGGCGGAGGAAGACATTCATATACTCAGTGAATATTTAGCTCAGCTAAGATTAACAATAACAAGCCCCAAGAATAAAAGTCATTATATGTGCATCCTTAATAATCAAATTGTGGGAGTTCAAGATTTATCTCTAGAATGTAAGTATATTTACAAAAAGATGATGGGAACCTTTAGGCCCTAGCAAACAGATGATGGGAGCCTTTAAGCCATAATAAACAGATGATGGGAGCCTTTAAGCCCTAACAAACAGATGGTGATACATGTACATCGATTCAATGAGATGTCATGTCTGCAATAGTTAATTGTTTTATCAGCTTAATGGGTTGTGTTGTTTTTTGGTTTCTTTTTCAGATCGTCCACGACCAGTTGAGAATGTGAGCTGTGTGGTTGCTAATTGGGACACTATGACATGTAATTGGCAACTAGGACCCTATGTTAAAGTGGAAGATATTAATATTTTACCATACTGGTGGGTTCAATCGGGGTAAGTCTACGCTAGGTTCCCACAATCGTGCGATGTGTTACGACAGGATTGTCCCTACTCAGTCCATGATCTGATACGTGCAGATACGTTTCGATACGATCAACACGATTGTAACAACGGAATTCAATATATGATAGGATCAAAATGACTACTCCACGATTAAAACCCTGAATCGTGATAGAGGGATGCAAACTAACAAGCCTATGACAACTTGGTGTAGATCTTTATTCCATGAATGCCTTGACTGAGTTGGATGATAAACAGAGATGAATAATTTGATTTGTTTGAGATAATTTTGCTTCCTATATGAAATCAATGAAAATGTTGTTTTCCACAATTGTTCAGGTTCAACTTTGAGGTATTTGATTGAAAGTTAGTACACTCTTTTACATAGCAAACCTATTCTGGGAAAATCTTTTATCCGATTTTGATCAAACTTAAAATGTATGTTTATAACCTAAACTTTTTGGTTCCTTTCGATATTGGCGCATATCGAACCTTGACATCCTGGATTATGGTCTTGCTTTTAGTTTGTGAGCCCTCTAGAACTAGTAGCACTAACAATTTTTATTATACGCCCACATTGAAATGTGGTCGTATATTGTCATCGCCCCCGTACGGCGGTCCGGCGTCCACAATTTCTTGTGGGCGCTCTAGTTTAATGTTGCTGAAACTTGAAATATATGTTTCCAGTGCACTCTGTCACATCCGACATCATATGGGATCGTTACAATATGTCGGATTACGCAGAGTGTCGGAATACCCAGTTTTCTCAAAACCGGAAATATTGTAACTTTGAAAACCGGAAGTATTATTATAATGTAGCTTCGAACATAGAACTTTGAATCACCAGAATGTTATTCCCTTTAAAAATGATAAACCTTTCTGTACATTCAAAATTTTATTACATTAATTTTTGTTTCATTTAAAATGCGTAAGTATTTTGAATAGGTCAAGTCTGTCGTTAATTTATCTTCTTCGCCGTCTTCAGTTGATCGCACTCTTGTCTTTGCTATCATGTGTTCATTGATAATGGGCGTACTCGATTGAACGTTCCGGAATTGAATTCTCTCAATCCCAAAAATAGTGACAAACGAGTGAAAATGGGTACTTCCAGCTACAAAGCATGCGACGACTGGATATATAAATATCTCATCCAACCATGCAGCCGAAACCTGTTCGTCATGTTTAATTACGTCACAATTCTACTCACACCACCTCCGTTGTCGGGACTAACAGAACTGTGACAGGGCTGAATTCCGCGTCACTCGATTGCTATTCTTTCAATTCGGGACGTTCCGGACTGTGAATCAAGCATCCCCAGGTCGTCGTCACGCGGTTCGAAGAGATCCATAGGGTGACCAAACTTATAGGTTATTCAGGTTCAATCGGCATGCGCAAGGAATGTTTCCAACAGGTGCTAGGAATATTTTTACGACTGTGAATTTGGGGGTAAAATTCGTGGATATTCTTGAGTATTTGTCACAACTGTTGTACAAGAGATTAAAATTATCAAAGTAATCAACAAAGACCCACTGTAGCAAGTTTTAATCTCACAGATAATTGATTGGTGATTGCTTGTGAATCTTTTGTCGCTTCACACCCATCCAGTTTTAATCTCACGGATAATTGATCGGTAAGTGTTTGCTTCACACTCACCGATTGAGGGCCGGATTATACGGTGTCGATTCAATGGAAATCGTATGACGGGACGGCTGATTGATGTCGTAATCCAGAACGTACAGAGGTCGAATTACCCAGAGATTTTTTGGCTGAAGTAATAAGGAAATAAATCGGGACATGAAAATGGTTTCAGATGTAACAGAGTGCCAGAGTGATCAGAGGTCGGTTGTGACAGAGTGCACTGTATATCCAAAAGGTCTTGGGTCCTTTTGATATTGACGCATGTTGAACCGTAAGATCCTGGATTATGGCCCCTTTTTGTACGAAAATCGCTTTTTTTTTTAGCTTGTTCTTCGCTGTCCATCTCTTGCAAAATGGGGGCGTATCTTGCATGGCAACCACTTGTTTATGTACCAAAAAGTTGATTATTTTATTCGTAACTCTGTTTAACCCTTAACCGGTCGACGTCATTTTGACGTCATGACTTCAAGTGCTCAGGCTAAATAAAGGCTAAAGTGGAATATTTTGTATGCCTATTTCAATCGACTACTGCCGGATAATTATAAGTGATAGACTCTTGATACCAAGACAAAAGTTGAAGGGGATAAGTTGATCTATAATTTGCAAATCATTCTAAATCAATTTCATCAGAAATATCGTCTTCAGAATCGGTGTCATCGATATAATCCAAGTCGGAATAATTCATAAGGATTTCAACCACTTTGGGAGTCTTTAACCTTCCCAACATCGTTAAATTACGTTTTTTGTCAAAAAATGTTGAACAAAGACATGTTTTTCTCAATGCCCTTGACAAGACAAGTTTCTCTCTGACACACATGCGTGGCGATATCAATTAAATACAAAACTAAATACTCAAATGGGGCTTATGAAAAAGGTTCTTGTTGTGGTCGACTTTAGTCAACCGTGACCACTTAGCTGCAGGGCTGCCGACAACCAGTATCGCAGCGCAATTTGCGATGCATATTTTGTTCGTTGCTAATCAAAAATTAAAATCTAATGTTTTTGATTCGCAGTAACTGCAAATCATTACAGAATCATTAATATGCCTGTTATTTTGGATATTGACACGAAGATTTATCCACATTTCTCAACACTTTCAACGTGTATAAAATTTCAAATAAATTTTATAAGCAAAACTGAATTCTCCGTGTGACATTTTCTTCTCGAACTTCCCAGACTCAATTCATTATAATATATAATACAGGGACATAACTCTATGAATTGGGACTATTAAACCGAAACTAGGGAATCAAGTAGTACCACTCATGTTGCAAGACATGACAATTTCGAGTAATTATATCAGTATTCAATTTGAACAAAATAAATTCAGTGTATTCCCCAAGTATTGTCAATAAAATATAAAAAATAAATATGTGTAAGCGTATCGTAAAATGAGAAATCAAAGTAAGAATTCCCGTAAAATATTATTGTTTAAATCGCGTGCGTCTAGTTAATCGAGATAATTCGTAAAAATCTATGTGCGTCCGAATGAAAAAAAAATGGTAACAATAGTAACACATGATAAAAACCAGACAAAATTGTTTTCTAAAGAAGAAATAAGTTCGAAGCCACTGCCAAGAATTGGCTTCAGACATAACCAAAAGTCTACATTCAGAAATGTTCACAGCTACCTGTAGCAGTGCTAAAATTCTAAAAAAATCCGAAGAATGAAATTAATCATTTGTTATAAATTAAAGTAATCTTGTTATTTACTATATTTAGGTGTTTTATGTTGAAACCGAAAAACTGCTAATCAATTTTTAAATTTGCTAATCAAATTTGGCAAAATTGGACTTTTTGGTTAGCAGTGCTGCTAATCATCTGTGAAAAATTACCGACAGCCCTGCTTAGCTGTATAGAGTTGTGGTGATTAAAGGTTAATGTGAAATTATAGTCCTGTTTGACATTATAGCATTATAGCCCTGTTTGACATCACCTTCCATTAAATTCATCTACTTATTGTTTTTTTTTGTTTCAGAAATGGATATTATACATGTGATCGTTCAAGCCAAACTTCATGTTTTTTTAATGCTAGTAGTTACAATGAAGGAAACATGTACACTATGATGATAGAAGTTAGTTATAAACCAAAAAATCGAGAAATGTATATTACTAACGGGAATTACACAATCTATGCTGATCAACTAGGTAAGTTGCCATACATCTGCTGATCGATTCGTATACTGGCCCCAAGATTTACTTGGCTGTAATAAAAACTTTATTAATCTGTGTTTATAAAACTAACATTAAACTAACCTCACCAATCATACAATAATTGGACCATCAAACACATCCATTTAAACTAACCTCATCCATAATCGCCACAAGGAATAAATTATCACCATTAATATAGTAAAACTATGGTATTTATTATAGTAAAACTATGTTGTTTATTAAAATAAAACTATGTTATTTATTATAGTAAAACTATGTTGTTTATTATAGTAAAACTATGATGTTTATTGTAGTAGTAAAACTATGTTGTTTATTGTAGTAGTAAAACTATGTTGTTTATTATAGTAAAACTATGATGTTTATTGTAGTAGTAAAACTATGATATTTATTGTAGTAGTAAAACTATGTTGTTTATAATAATAGTAAAACTATGTTGTTTATTGTAGTAGTAAAACTATGTTGTTTATTATAATAGTAAAACTATGTTGTTTATTATAATAGTAAAACTATGTTGTTTATTATTATAGTAAAACTATTGTAGTAAAACGATGTTATTTATTATAGTAAAACTATGTAATTTATTATAGTAAAACCAGATCCTGTAGCTGATCTGACAGCTAATGCAGTCAACTCCACATGCTTACATTTAACCTGGTCACATTCTAGAAGTGAAAAAAATCTAAAATATAGATTAAGATATTATTCTCAGTGGGATAAAGAAACTGAGGTAAGTATAAATATGAATACATAATAAATCAAGAATCATTTCAAGTAATAAATACATACGACATGTGTGCTGTGGAATATCTAATCCACCCACAACATACAAATAATGATTTAATTTCATCTGGAATCTTTACCGTAATGAAGAAATCTTTGTCTCCTCGTGTTCTACTAAATATCCTATTTCAGCTTTAGTTGGCAGCAACATTTTGTCCTCATATACGTAATAAACTAAATTTGATTTTGTTCAACCTTCAGATATTGTTAAATCCTGGACGATCCTTGAAACATACAGTTTGTGGTCTTCATCCTAATACATTATATAATTTCACCGTGGCAGCACATCCTAGAACACAAGGTTTTTGGAGTGAGACAGTTCACACAAGTACAACTACATTAGAAGATGGTAGGTAGACACCAAATATAATGATAAAGTTGGCATAAGCCAAGTTTGTGTTTTAAACCTTTTGTATCCTAATATATATACAAGTACGTTAAAGACCACATAAGAGGGGAAATCTAAATTTCATGTACGTATAGCCAATGGTTACTATATCCACTTTACGGCAAGTTCACACCAATCTGATTAAAATTAATTTGGCTGTTAACGTTCAAGTATCGGACACGCCAAAACGCTTTTCAATTTTTCAATTACAACCTTAATCCGGTTGATTGGCTGGTGACGTCACAGGCACTACACATAGGATATACATTATCTATACAATATCTCACTGTCTGTACAATATAGCACTATCAATACACACCACCAGTTGACAAGGGTCTATTGACCGTCCAATTACCACGTGACTGGTCTAATCATAGTCACCAAATTATTGTCTTACATTGTTATAGATTAGACATTTGTGATTGGAATATTTTAGAGTGAATTTAAAATACAGCATCATGCCGTACATCCATTTAAGCGTCCTTTGTTTAAATTGGCCACGTGACAAATGAAGAAGACCCACGCAATTAGCGTATTTATCTGTAATTTGGATAACCTCGTAATACTTGATACCCAACCTATTCCCTGTAAGTACAGAAATACAAATGGTGCCAGTCATTTGTTGATATATTCATTATAATAATAATGACCATTTCTTTCACACAAAGACCAACTTTTATCGCAACTCCATTTGAAATTCACAGCGAATATGGTATTGTCCGATGACTATATGCATAACAATAGATCACCCTGATTTCTCAGCCAATCAACACTGGGAATCTTATTACCTTGTACGGCTCTATGCACTACGGGCGTAGTAACTGGGGTTAAACTTTGACATTAAAATTGCACGAGATTCATGGACATGAATATCAAATACACTTGAACATACGCAGAGTTCCTGATGCCGTTTGGTGAGCGATTAAACTGTCAATGTAATTGTAAAATACCTTTATTATAAAAAAGTTAAACGATGTTAGACATTATAACCTTATCTTATCACAAACGTTTATTTGTGTGAGTTAGTTGTATTTTACGTCCGCTTCTACCGAGGTGATATCGCAGACAAACGTTTATCCATCCAATGATTTATATTCAGATTCCAGGTCAAGTCAATTAAATGTTGTTTAAACGCCAATCAACAAATAATACGAGGCTACTTTATTACAAAAACATCAGGGAACAAAGCTAATTGATCTGGCCGGCGTAAAAAAAGATAATTACCTAATCAGCATTCTTAATTAATTTATGACCCTATATCTGTGCAACTTTAGTCGGATTGATTAATTAATGACAGATATAAACGACACTACAATTGCCATATTATTATCAACACACAAAGATAGTTAGACGACCCTTCTTAATCTGTTATTCCATTTACCAACAAAATTTATTTGTACTGTTAATTCTAACGTATATTGAGATATTTTTTCGTATTTCATTTTTACGGTCTATTTCAGAGTAATAAAGTCAAATCCACATACAGAAAGAAATGCGCCATACGATGGCTACAGGAAAACAAGATATTCTGATAACGGATCGACATTTACAAATCGTGTTCCAATCATGTTTGACTTTTATGATACATTTTGCATGAGCACATCTTTTTACTCGGGAAATCAGAACCACAATACTCTTCTGAAGAAAAAGTGTCGCGAATCTTTTGGACTGCGCACAATGTAGAGGGACTCTATCAAAAAGTCACTTTAAAACACAGTATTAAAATCGCTGTCGTGAGAAGAGAGGGCGGGACATTATTATACAAATTCTAAATTGGACCTTTAATTAAAATAAATTACAAAACAAACTATTTTGTAGTCAATTGTTTTATTTAATCAGGGAATTAAGGAATCAGTCAGACGTTAATGAATACACACGACGGCTATATATAGGTAATTAGGGAATAAACATTCTAAGTATGCATTCGGTCACTGTGACGTCACTGGCATCTGAGGGGATTAAGAGTGTTTTAGATAATTAACAAAGTCGTTTTTACGGGAGGTCCATTTTTGTGACTTTAAGTGAAGATAGCTGAATTAATTTCAAACAGATTGGTGTGAACTTGCCACAAAATGGATATAGTAACCATTGGCTATACGTACCTCAAAGTTTCCAGGTCCATCTTATGTGCACTTTAAATGACCCTGACCTGTCTGGTAAAATTGCACTATTTTCAATGACAAAATATAAAATTGCAAATCATCCAAGACGGGATATTCTTCAAGTAAGAGAAATTTTTCTGAAATATACATGTTCTAAGATTTCTCAATGCCACATTTCCATCATTTTGTTCCATAGTTAAAAAAAAAAACTCTAAAACTCAATGAACACAAAATGAAATGAAATGGGGTTTAACTTCCTACTGTTTTGCTCCTAACCTGGGCTAATGAAGACGGGCATACGCCATACAGTGTGCTATGAGGGAAATTTTGCCCGGGCAGCGGCACTATCGCCTACTCTTATATCGAATTCCAACTGCCAGGGGATCTTTTACGTGCATTCCAATATATACACGGTACCTCGGTGTTTCGTCTCATCACTGGTTCATAGAGAAATAAACCAATAAGGAGATATTCCCTTTTATGGCAAGGTTTGGAGGCTTTTGTGTAGAATTATCTCCCTGTGTGGTATTACATTCCACAAAATGTTTCACTTAGAATAATTTTGTAAGATTTTTTTGGTGACTGTGGGTGTTTTTCACCACAAGAGTTCCAGAAGCTGTTAGACTCCAAAATTTCTTCACAAACCCCCTTATCTCACTGTTTGGTACTACATTCCATAAGAATTTCGACTTGTTTTTCATCACAAGAGTTCCACAACACATTGGGTTCAAACCTCCTTATCTCCCTGTTTGGTACTACATTCCACAAGTTTTTTGATAGAGCATTTTTGGTCTGTGATGATTTTACCAAAAGAGCTTCACATAATATTAGGTCGGTGCCGTGGGCATTCACAGATAAAATTGACATATAGACGATTTGACCATGTATGCCTTTTGACTTCACACTTGGGTTAGCTAATAAAAATTGTTCACCTAAAAATTCTCTTTGCACCATTACACGGGCGCTGCGGAGGCAATGTTACGCGGGCGCTGCGGAGGCATTGTTACGCGCGCGCTGCGGAGGCAATGTTACGCGGGCGCTGCAGAGGCAATGTTACGCGGGCGCTGCGGTGGCAATTTTACGCGGGCGATGCGCAGGCAATGTTACGCGGGCGCTGCGGAGGCACTGTTACGCGGGCGCTGCGGAGGCAATGTTACGCGGGCGCTGCGGAGGCAATGTTACGCGGGCGCTGCGGAGGCAATGTTACCCGGGCGCTGCGGAGGCAATGTGAATAAATTACTGACTTATTAACCAGGAGGTGTCTAGTCATTCGAATGGGACAAAAAAACGAGAACTTGTTTACATATTGACAGCTGGAATTGGATATAAGAGTATGTCGTAGTGTCGCTGCCCGGGCAAAATGTCTCTCATGGCACACTGTATGCTGTCATGACCTTCTTCATTAGCCCAGTCGGAGCAGAAGAGTAGGAATGTAAACAACGTTTCATTTCATTTTGTATTTTAGTCATTCGGATTTTGAAATTAGAGTTTTTGGCTTTTTGACCATGTTTGCCTGGTAAAAAGGCATAGATCCTTGTTTTAATGGTTACTGTAGGTTAGAGGGTTTGGGGGGGGGGGGGGCTAGTAGTTGCATGTAAAACCATCAGGCCTATAATTGAGTCAAGTTGTATGGTTCTCCTTGTGCGCGACAAGAAGTAGGGTCGCCTCTCCAACCTCGTAGGTTTTCTCTGGGCCCTCTAGTTTACTCCTACTGCTAAAGACCCCTATGCACAAGCGAAATATTGGAGTAAAATTGAACAATATGTTTGTCCCGAAATGACCTATTTTGTTACAAGTGAAGGTTAAACTCTCTCTCTCCCTCTCTCTCTCTCCCTCTCTCTCTCTCTCTCCCTCCCTCTCTCTCTCTCCCTCTCTCTCTCTCTCTCTCTCTCTCTCTTGTATAATTAACATTGAAGAAGGATGTCCGGGTACAATTCTTTGACCTCAGAAACACATAATCCTCCTAACTTTCCTATTTTTGCTCATCTACACAAAATAATAACATGGTTCCGCATAGGTAACTTTCAATGGCTGTATATCCTGGTATCCTATTTACATCTACACGTACACATCCCCCATTTAGACATTCAATGTGGGTGTTTTATTCAAACTTTAACTGTGGGTCATTAGTTTAAAGGGACATGGCCAGATGTTTTATCTGTGTTTAACTAGACAGGATTTTCTCGTTGTTAGTTGTCGCAATACGTCTAACAATGCAGTTGTAAGATTTTCAAGATTCCCAAAGACTGATTTGTTCGTCAGATCCATTGTATGGTAAGGGTACCTGTTTGAGGGTTATTTAACTAAGCGTGAATGCGAAAGTGAACGTGGCGATTATATTTGATTGATTTAAAAATCCAACCATTGGTGGAATTTCTTTCGAGCCAAGATCACTTCCAGAGTTTTTTGCGAATGTTTTTCATTAGCCAATCAGCCAGAATGTAAAGTCAAAAGGTATATATGGTCAAATCTTCTATGCGGCAATTTCATCTGCAAATGTCTGTGCTCACAACACAAACGATGATTCATGGGTAAAGTTGCATTGGGCAGTAGTCACATTCGCACTCAATAGAAATGGCCCGTTACTCACTGGCACACAAACATTTAATCGCGGTTCTCCAGGCCTCATTTGGATCCATGATGGATCATTAGTGGATGGTGTGAAAAGTGCGTTGTCGTTAACACGTCAAAAACGACTAGGCAACTGGAATTTGAAATAAGTATAAGTCGTAGTGGTGCTGTCCGAGAAAAATGTCTCTTATACCACAAAAGCAGGACGTTAAACCTCCCTTCATTTTATTTGTTTCCCTTCCAGCAGGTGATCAAAAGTAAAATGTCCTGATATCACCAAATTCTACAAACATCTTTATCTAGTCGTAATATCATCCATGTGAACATTAAATAAACAAACTAAGTAAAAAAAGCAAAATATAGCTTCCTGAAACTCAAGACTTGTTTTTATCACACGGGAGAAGGATGTAATTCTACAAACCAATACTTTATATTGTAATATAATCCACATCACTATTAATTAAAAATAACTTTTTCCTTAAAGGCTCAATACCACTCTTGTTGTAACTGAATAATATGTCCCAATCTTTACTTTAATCAACAAATTGTACTATTTTACAATATTCCAATTAATTGATGATACAAATTTCATCTTAAAACACCTAATTTAAAAAATTGAAAAAATTCAACTAAATGATTTGAATAGCCTAACATAAACCTTTTCAAATGTGACTTGGATTTAAAAATATTTTCGAACCCTCTGGACAAGTAAAATAGGGTGTAATGGATAATTTACACAACAGGTAGGACACATAAACATCTAATACTTAGAATAAGGCTATTATTTATTTTCTGGAGCTGTCAAGCCAGCAAGAGTGTTATTGTCTCTTTAAAAAGGATCAAAATATAGCTTCATTCTATAAAAATCTGTTATCTGATCCAGGATGTTGTTGTTATATTCTAGTGTGTATGATGTATGATGTTTTACATCCAACTGTTTGTTACCTATATAGTAGAACCTGAGTATTAAAATTGTTTTTACCGCTGTAGAAGGCAAATCAGCAATTGATCAGTCCAAGATCTTATAGAATGGGGTAACACACAAGGAGTTCAAGGTGGTGGGGGGGAGGGAAAGAAATTTTAAAAACCTTTTTTTTCCAAGTCAAAGACTATGTGGGATATTGAACCAAAAAGATATTTTTGAAAATATAGAACTAAATTCTATGTCCAATATCTTGTGGAACTCTTGTTGTAAAAAACACTACAGACCAAAAACACTCTATGAAAATTATTGTCAAAGATCTTGTGGAAATATTTGAAAAAATTGAATTTTTTTCGAAGAACAATATCTTGTGGAACTCTTGTGGTCCAGCTTTTTGAAACGCGCCCCAAACCTTGCCATTCCAACTGATATTTTGAATTTTATGCTTCCACTTGATGTAAAATTGGTTATACAATCTCTTGTAAAATTAGCTGGTGTTTATTTGATATACCACATTAGCTGTATCGCTGGTGTTTATTTGATATACCACATTAGCTGTATCGCTGGTATTTATTTGATATACCACATTAGCTGTATCGCTGGTGTGTATTTGATATACCACATTAGCTGTATCGCTTGTTTTTTTTTGATATACCACATTAGGTTTCTAACATATAATTATTATATTTTTATATACATCTATGGTTAAGTAAACTTATGATCATTATGATCAGTAGAGCTGCTTCTAGCAAGAGACATGTTTTGAAATATCACTAGTACACTCTGTACGTGTCCACTGCTTTGTGTGAATGTTTAAAGGCTTTCTATTAATAAATGAATAATTTGTATGACACAAGATTTAACATGGTGTAACACAGATATAGCTCAGATTAATCATCGGAATGATACAAATGTCTAATCTATAACAATGTAAGACGATAATTCGGTGATTATGATTAGGCCAGTCACATGGTAATTGGACCGTCAATAGACGCTTGTCAACTGGTGGTGTGTATTGATAGTGCTATATTGTACAGACAGTGATATATTGTATAGATAATGTATATACTATGTGTAGTGCCTATGACGTCACCAGCCAATCAAACGGATTAAGGTCGTAATTGAAAAATTGAAAACGTTTTGGCATGTTGGATACTTAAACGTTAACAGCCGTAATAATTTTAATCAGATTGGTGTGAACTTGCCGTAAAGTGGATATAGCAACCATGGTCTATACGTACATGAAATTTTGATTTTTCATCTTATGTGGTCTTTAAGATTAAACATTGTAATGATACAATCTTACATGTAATTACCTCATTTTATAGTGCCAAGTTTTGGTCCAGCAACAACTAATGGTGGTTATTTTGAGTACCCGTGTGAGTATGGACATAGGAAGATTGATATATTTTTTAAGGTATGGATCTAAGATGATAGTTTAATTAGTAAAATTTATGTGGAATAATTGTGTCAGTTAGATTACCAGGTGCATAGATATTTTTGAATATTTAAAGGTAAGGAATGAGAGAAGCTTCCCATAACAATGTTAGAATTGACAGCTATGGGTGTAGTTTCATAAGGCTTGGGTAACAATGTTAGAATCAATAGATATGGATATAGTTTCACAAAGCTTGTGTATCAGTGTTAGAATCAACAGATATGGGTGTGTTCACAAAGCTTGTGTATGTTAGAATCAGTAGCTATGGATATTCACAAAGCTTATGTATCTTAGGTATTCGTGTAAAATCATGTTTTAGTCCATCGGAACATTTTCCAACCATTTCACGATTAGTATGTTAGGTTCAATTGATATCTTAACACAGGAACAATCTTGATTTTTTTTACGCCCACATTTTCATGTGGACGTATATTGTCGTCGTCCATGTCCGTCCGTCCACAATTTGTTTGTGGACACTCTACAGGTCACAATTCTTATCCGATATTGCCATGTATCAGCTCGAGACTTAGATGGATTATTTTACGGAAAATCAGGTTTTCAACTTGTGGACACTCTAGAAGTCACAATTTTTATCCGATTTAGATGTATGTTAATAACCCAAAGATCTAGGTTCGTTTCGGTATATCAGTACGCAGATTTCTGGATCATGTCACCTGATTGTACGAAAAATTAGGTTTTTAGCTTTATGGTCCCCCTAGAGGTCATAATTTTTATCTGATGTAACAAAACATTAAAATATATGACCGTTACACCATAGTGAGCTTGAATTTTGTGAAAATCAGATGGAAACTGCCGGACAAAATGGTCGCTTCTCATACGCAAATAGTGTTAAAGTATGGTATATCAAGGTTGTGGACCCTCTAGAGGTCACAATTTTGAACCAGTTTTGATGAAACTTAAAATATATGTTTACATCCCAAAGATCTTGGTTCCTTTTCGATATTTGCGTAGAACACACCATAACTTCCTGTATTATGGCTCCTGATTGTACAAAAAATCACTTCTTCTTTTGAGCTCGTCCTCTGTCCATCTCTTGCAAAATGTTGGCGTATCTTGCATGCCAACCACTTCTCCTATATTGTAGATGGGGGGGTCGCCTGTCCAACTTTGTGGGTTTTCTCCGGGTCCTCCAATTGCTTAAGACCCCTACGTGCAAGCAAATTATTGAAATAGAATTGAACCATATGTTAGTCCCAAAATTACCTTGTTTCTGTGGTCGGACATTAAACCAATTTCTCTCTGTATATATATATATATATTTATTAATATCATTATCAATCTTGTAGCATGTTGCCAAAGAGAATGAAAATGGTGTCATTATTGAATATGGGGCTGATGTCAGAATGACTTCGACTGACGTAGAAAATTTTGTAGCTGCAGCAGACTCAAACAAGATCACTGTTCGTCTTCCGTGTCATGTCGGTTATTACGTCGATTTGTATGCTCGTACAAAGATTGGAAAATCTAAAAACAACACAAAAATCTTTTTACGAGCAATAAGAACAGGTAAATGGTGTTTATGGGTAGTTATTTATTCAACAAATAATTTTATAACATTGGTGTAAAATAATTCAGGCCATACATTTCAAGGTTCACAGGAATTGACTTACTTAATTAATAAAATTCACTTACACATGCAAGAGCTAATTCTGCAGATTGCAGGTCTGAAATGTTTTATAAACTATTAATTAGACATTAATTAACAAAACAAGACCATAATCAACTCACTATGGCATCGGATACTCGAGATTTTAACTAGATTACAACGTTTCAGAATTTAAATATTTAGTTAAAAATGGGAAAGCGAGGCTAAGTTTCGAATATAACAGTGCCCTGGTTACCACTATGCACACATCTTGTCAAAACTACAAACAGTGATAACTTGGCTCAGAGTCAAGTAATTTCAATGAAATTTTTAATATCTTCATTTTACATTTTCTATTTTTGAGCTATATTATTGCAAGAATGGTCAGTTCTTTATCTAAATCGTACCATAATGTATCTTTAATTAATAAGATTTACCCTGTTGACCTGTTTTATTGTGGACATTGTGTTTGTGTCAGAAATCAACTGTACATGATCGTAACTTGACAAAGGTAATTGGAAACCACAGGCTTGTACGAGACAGAAATTAGTCAAACTTGTTGGGTTAACGCATGCATGTGAAATCATAAGGTCTGTCATTGAGTCGAGTGGCATGGTTTTGACTCCCCGCTTGAACATGACAAAGAATAGGGTCGCCTGTCAAACCTTGTGGATTTTCTCCAGGTTTTCTGGATTCCTCCCATTGCTAAAGACCACCCCTTCGTGCAAGCTAAAGACCACCCCTTCGTGCAAGCTAAAGACCACCCCTTCGTGCAAGCTAAAGACCACCCCTTCGTGCAAGCTAAAGACCACCCCTTCGTGCAAGCCAATTAATGAAATAAAATTGAAACATATATTAGTCCAGAAATGACCTAGTTTTTGTCAAGTGGACGTTAAATTTATGTCTGTTGAAATTCCAAAATCTTTCAGATATGTACATTTAACAAGCATCTTCAGCACACAATATATTAGAGGTTGTTAATATGGCTCACCTGTATAAAATATATTACAGGTTGTTAATTGTGGTTTACCTGTATATTGTATATTACCTGTATGAAATATGTATGTTATTTAGAATAAATTCTAGATTGAATTAATCACAATAATCTGATTTAACTAAACTCAACCTTTTAACACAGTTTTTGTCAGATTCTTTTCACATTTTATTGAATTTTTGGATCACAAACTTTCTCTTTAGACACGTAAATCATAATATGGAACACAATTACTATTTTAATTAAAACAACGTTTCATTCAGGATTCTCTCAGCGTTATCAAGGAAAACATTGAGAAAACCCTCAATGAAACTTCACTTTAATTTAAATAGTAATTGTGTTCCATATTATGTTTTACGTGTGTCAATTGCTAAATGCTGCTCATCGAAGAAGCTTTTCTATGTTTTTGTTTTTATACGCCCACATTGAAATGTGGTCGTATATTGTCGTCGCCCCCATCCAGCGGTCCGGCGTCCACAATTGCTTGTGGACGCTCTAGAGGCTAAAGTTAATATCTGATTGACTTTAAATTTATACACAGTGTTTAAGGTCTTGAGACGAAGAAGCCTATTGATTTTCAGCGATTTCCGATAATTACTGCCAGAGTTATGGCCCTTGATCACTTTGAAAAATCTTGTGGACGCTCTAGAGGCCAAAGTTAATATCCAATTGACCTTAAATTTATACACAGTGTTTGAGGTCATGAGACGAAGAAGCCTATTGATTTTCAACAATTGCGGCCAGAGTTATGGCCCTTGATTACTTCAAAAAATCTTGTGGACGCTCTAAAGGCCAAAGTTAATATCCGATTGACTTCAAATTTATACACAGTGTTTAAGATCATGAGACGAAGAAGCCTATTGATTTTCAGCGATTTCCGATAATTACTGCCAGAGTTATGGCCCTTGATCACTTCAAAAAATCTTGTGGATGCTCTAATGGCCAAAGTTAATATCCGATTGACTTTAAATTTATACGCAATGTTTAAGGTCATGAGACGAAGACACCTATGGATTTTCAACGATTTCCGATAATTACTGCCAGAGTTATGGCCCTTGATCACTTCAAAAAATCTTGTGGATGCTCTAGAGGCTAAAGTTAACATCCGATTGACATTAAATTTATACACAGTGTTTAAGGTCATAAGATGATGAAGCCTATTGGTTTTCAGCGATTTCTGATAATTACTGCCAGAGTTATGGCCCTTGATCACTCTGAAAAATCTTGTGGATGCTCTAGAAGCGAAAGTTAATATTCGATTGACTTTAAATTTATACAGTGTTTAAGGTCATGAGACGAAGAAGCCTATTGATTTTCAGCGATTTCCAATATTTGCTGCCAGAGTTATGGCCCTTGATCACTTCAAAAAATCTTGTGGATGCTCTAGAGGCTAAAGTTAATATCCGATTGAGTTTAAATTTATACACAGTGTTTGAGGTCATGAAACGAAGATTCCTATTGATTTTCAATGATTTCCGATAATTACTGCCAAAGTTATGGCCCTTAAGTTATCATCCGATTGACTTCAGATTGATACACAGAGTTTAAGATCTTGAGACGAACAAGTATATTGATTTTTAATGAATTTTTATGACTTGAACAGTTAAATCCATGATATTAAAAGCTTTGCATACAAAACGTTAGCATGGGGCAGAACTTTATAAAAACCAAACAAATTCTAATAGTTTTCTGATAATTACTTTGTGAGTTGTTGCTCTTAATCAGATTTTAGTGTATTATAAAGGTTTCATTACCGAAAAAAGTAAAAATGTGCGACAACCCTTGTTGACTGCCCGGACGATTTAGTTGCTGTGGGCGTATGTTTCGTTGCCTGGCAACCTATCTTTGATTTGGGTGTTCTTTTGAATTGTTTGTTTTGTTTTACCAGTTTTTTAATGTAACAATGCCTCACCTCACATGCCTTTTATACTGAAATATAAACAGGTGTAATTACTTATTGATAATACAAATATAAACACATGGAATTACTTATTGATGAAATGAAATGAAATGAAATGGGTTTAACGTCCTAATGTTCTACTCCTATGCTGGCTAATGAAGACGGGCATACGCCATACAGTGTGCTATGAGGAAAATTTTGCCCGGGCAGCGGCACTATCGCCTACTCTTATATCGAATTCTACTGCCAAGGGATCTTTTACGTGCATTCTAATGTATACACGGGACCTCGGTTTTTTGTCTCATCCGAAAGACTAGACAGCTGTCCTTGTCAGGCCATCTGTCCTGCATCACTAACAAGGGGAAACCACGCCGAAAAATTTGGATGAAATTTCTCGGCCAATGCAGGGATCGAACACCCAACCTCCAGGCTAGCGAGCCAGCATCCACCCACTTAGCCACGTGATCCCAGGTCTAAATTGATCATACCAACAGTTAACTAATTAAAACAATGAGACCACAACCATTAAATTTTCTGTTCTTTGTGGAACACAAGTAAAAATTTTCCTTATTTCTTTGAGGAAAAGACTCATTTAAAACCCAAAAATACTTTGTTGTGCTGTTCAAAAACTTTTAATTCCAAATTTAAGGTTTGAGATTTATCAAATCCCTAAAGAATAGAAACTCCAGTTGGTGTGGTAATTCAAATATTTCCCCAAATTATTTTCCAAAACACTTCAATAGACTATAACATATGGAGGAAAATTACTAATTTATTTGCGCGTCTAGATAAATCAGTATGTGTTATAGTTTATTGCTCTATCCAGTTACTAAATACCTCTAAAGAATTACTTCAATAGACATTTCAAAATAAACATGTTAAAATATTTGTTAGATGAGTGTTTTAAGCCTAGTAAAATGTTTGAGTGATATTTAGAGTTATGTGATGATATAAGTGTAGCAGGTAGCTTAAAGTGTGCTGTATATTTTGTTTTTTTATTTAAAGTTACAACAAATGTTCAGGTACATATTGTTTATTTTGTTGTTTCTTTTATCTAAAGTTACAGCAAATGTTCAACTACATATTGTTATATCTAATGATACTGGTGCTGGTAATCAAGTTAAAGCTGTATGGAGGAATACATCACCTACTCTTAAACCAGTTTATATCTACTGGTGTCAAAGTGCATTAACTAATGTTTGTCAGGTATGATATGGACTCAGACTACTAATTAATTATTTCCCCTTATTTCATGATAAAACCAATTATGATAGCGTAATTTTCCATTTTGCATGTCAGTTTTTGTTGACTTTCTGGTTTAGAATCAGAGAAAAGTTCTGCAGGTTTGGGAGAATATTTGTAGATAGTCAACCACCATTTTCGGTATTCCCAGTGGCATCGTTCCATTTTATTCCACTAACCTCTGGGTCCATCCACGGGTTTTTCACAAATTCGTAGCTTCTATGCACCAATCGAAAAACAGTTTACATACCAGTCTTAGCGTCATTGTTTACATTGACTACAATAACCTTAGTTGCAATAAATATTATATAAAATGTTATATAAATTATTAGTTAGATATTAATTAACTTATCCAAACCATAATCAGCTATCGATGCCATCACTAGACTGCAATATTTAGTGGATTGGAATACATTTTGTGAATGTTAATTAAATGTAAAAGTGTATAATTGAGACTTTGGTTTTTTTTATCGCACCGACTTTAGTAATGATGATCGAAGCTAGTCTAAAATTCAAAAGCTAATATCTCTGTTCACAGTGGAGCATTTGACTGAAATTTTCAGCATATTCTATTTAACTATTATAGCAAAAACTGTCAACTCTTTATGTCATCTCCGATAATGCTCCCTTTAAATTGAAAGATGGCCTGGGCAAATATACTAACGCTGTATTATGTATTGTTGTTTTAAATTTAACAGGGAGATTTAAATTGGTTACCAATTGAAGATGATGATACTGACATGATATTACCTGTTTCTGTGAATGAAACTGAAGCTAAAGAATATATATTTGCCATTTCTTTCATGGTCGGTAACAGTCCTAGTTCGATGATATTTTCAGAGTGTATCTACAGGAGATATTCTGGTATATTTTCTTAGTTTCTCTTAGTTTTGTTGGTTTTCGCTAGTAAATATAATTGTTTCAGGACTGGTTATAACATATTTTAGCTTTCCTTCCATCTATAAATATTTTATTTCTACTCATTCAATCTTATCTTAGACAAATAGTTTATCCAGATAATTATTTACAGAGTTAATTCCCTTGTTTGGAAAATCTCATCAACAAATTGAAGACTGAATTTTAAATGTTTATGTAATTGAAGGCATAATGTGGGAAACGGGAGGTTGCATAATGCTGAGAATCAATAGGGTTCGTGGTCCCTTGAGCCCCCCGATGCTTCAGAAATGTGGGCATAGCTCCTGAAAGGAAGGTCGCAGAGTGCTAAAATCTGATAGGGTTCATATATACTCTCTAGACAAAATTTGAAAAAAAAATCAGTTAAAAACATTTCCCTCTATCGCATTCACAAGGTTAACGTAAAAAGGTGGGGAGGGGGTAACAAGGGAACAGAAGGTCATGGCTTCACACTTAATTTGAAACAAGTGTGTTAATCTCTGTGGTGTTAACAAGGGAATTGTTCACTGACCGAAGTACAAGGGCCATATAAGAAATGTGTTATATGGGAGAGAGTCATGGTTAAAATTAATGATATCAGATTTGAATTGGTTAATTTCTTTGATTTATTATAGAAACAAACAAACCCTACATTGACAGTTTATATAGTAAAAACTCTGAATTATATTTTTCAGTTCCTGCGGACCCTCCTGAAGGATTCCAACTAGATAAAGAGAATCCTGATTTATCTTTAGGACTAAGTTGGTCATCTAAACAATGTGATCATCAATCATTGATATACATCGACAATTATAATGTTCACTATTGTCCAACTGATAAACAAGGTGGCTGTTCAAGTAGGTAGCTTTCTTACGATGAGGGGTGGGGGTGGGGAATGTACATACCTTTCTAACTATATGGTGGGGAGTTGGGTGGTACATACCTTCCTAACTATATGGTGGGGAGTTGGGTGGTACATACCTTTCTTACTATATGGTGGAGAGTTGGGTGGTACATACCTTCCTAACTATATGGTGGGGAGTTGGGTGGTACATACCTTTCTAACTATATGGTGGGGAGTCTAGTGGTACATACCTTTCTTACTATATGGTGAGGAGTTGGGTGGTACATACCTTTCTAACTATATGGTGGGGAGTTGGGTGGTACATACCTTCCTAACTATATGGTGGGGAGTTGGGTGCTACATACCTTTCTTACTATATGGTGAGGAGTCTAGTGGTACATACCTTTCTAACTATATGGTGGGGAGTTGGGTGGTACATACCTTTCTTACTATATAGTGGGGAGTTGGGTGCTACATACCTTTCTAACTATACTATTCAAAAAAAGTAGGGGATATTTGATTTTTAAGTGTTATTAAAGTCACCTAATGAAACTGACGAAGAAACAAATGACAAAATGAAATGAAGTTCACATTCATCGATTTATTCCAAATGATCGTTAGACTAAGTAAGGCACAGACTGACCATTATAAGGGTAAAATGATACCCGGGGTCAAACAGCAAAGTTACCACAGCATCACAACCAAGTCAGTAACGGGTAAATCCTCCTCTGTTTGCCAAACAAGCATTGATCCGACGTGGCATACTCCTAATGAGACGTCTAAGGTCATTTTGGTCCAGATTGTCCCATTCCTGTTGCAACGCAGCAGCAAGTTCTTGGACATTGGCAGGACGTTGTTGACGTTGACGTAACCTCTGTCCAAGCATGTCCCAGACATGCTCGATGGGGGAGATGTCGGGAATCAGTGCTGGCCAAGGTAATGTGGTGATGTTCTGTTGTTGGAGGTAACCTGTAACGATCCTGGCCCTGTGACATCTTGCGTTGTCATCCTGGAAGATGAAACGGCGGCCATGACGTCGTGCGAACGGCACAACATGGACTGCCAAGATGTTGTCCCGGTAGTACTGGCCTGTAACACGCCCTGCAACAACATGTAAAGCCGTTCTTCCAGCAACAGTGATGCCTCCCCACACCATAACAGAACCACCCCCAAATCGATCATGTCTGATGACGTTAATGTCTTGGAAGCGCTCGTTTCGACGACGCCACACCCTCCTACGTCTGTCCAAAAAATCAACAGTGAACCTTGACTCATCTGAAAACATCACATTGCTCCAGCGTCGATTATCCCAGTGTTGACGATCCCTACACCAACGACGTCTTGCCTGAATGTGATGATCTCTCAAACAAGGGATCACGCGAGGACGTCGGGCGCGAAGGTGACCCCTATGCAGTCGATTCCGAATCGTCTGGCCACTCACTCTCACACCAGTGTCTGTTTGAAGACGATCGCTGATCTGATTTGCTGTGATGACACGATTTCTCAAGGCCAAGGTACGGATAAATCGATCCTGGGCTTGAGTTGTCGCCCTTGGTCGACCTGAGCATGGTCTGTCCTGTACAGATTGTGTATCACGGTATCTGGACCATAGCCTGCTTATGACAGACTGAGAAACATTCATCGTCCGCGCCACAACCGCCTGTGTTGTGCCGATCTGTAGCATGTCAAAGGCACGTAACCTTTCATTTTGGGTAAGCCGACGCATATCAAAATTTGTTTTCTGGTCACTAAAACAATTAAACTGATGTTTCCACCCTGGAATTCAATGCCACAATGACTGTAACATTCAAAGTCAGAGTCGTGCAAATCTTGGGTTGGACCCTCATGATGATCCCAAGCATCACCTGCATTCCATGCGGTAGCTATTGGTGCGTTTGGGCGTCACATGTAACTGGAAATGTTTCTTCTGTTAGGTTCTATAGTGACTTTTTTCGTAGTCATTTGCATATTTTAGTATTATGCCCCCAAAATCAAATATCCCCTACTTTTTTTGAATAGTATATATAGTGAGGAGTTGGGTGCTACATACCTTTCTTACTATATAGTGAGGAGTCTAGTGGTACATACCTTCCTAACTATATGGTGGAGAGTTGGGTGGTACATACCTTTCTTACTATATGGTGGGGAGTCTAGTGGTACATACCTTTCTAACTATATGGTGAGGAGTCTAGTGTTACATACCTTTCTTACTATATGGTGGGGAGTCTAGTGGTACATACCTTTCTAACTATATGGTGAGGGAGTTGGGTGCTACATACCTTTCTTACTATATGATGTGTTAGTTCCAAAATGACCTAGTTTGTGTCGAGTGGACGTTAAACTTGATTGTTTTCTTGCTCTGTGGTGGCCTGGTTGCTATATTACTTATAGATACAGTCAAAATCTGAATGTCATCTTTTTTAGTATCCTGACAACATTTATCTAATTGGCATTTATTTTTTACTTTCCAGAACAACAGCAGACAGTAAAAGTTTACAGCAGTCATAGCCGATATCAATTAAATGATCTAAAAGCAGATGTAAACTACAGTGTGTGGCTTCAAGCTGAATCATCTGGTGAACTAGGACCAGAAAGTCTTCATCTATATGCGATACCAACTGACTCAAGTACGTATTATATATTAGCTTGGTTAGTTCTAAACATCAGACAAGGATATGTCCTTCATTTCGGCAACACATGGAAATATATCAACACATTAACCAACTGGAATCCCACAATGACTACAGTCATTAGATAAATGACATCACACGATGACTACAGTTATTAGATAGATGACATCACACGATGACTACAGTCATTAGATAGATGACATCACACGATGACTACAGTCATTAGATAGATGACATCACACAATGACTACAGTCATTAGATAGATGACATCACACGATGACTACAGTCATTAGATAGATGACATCACACGATGACTACAGTCATTATATAGATGACATCACACAATGACTACAGTCTGTGTACACATTGACGTGCATGTAAAAGATCCCTTGGCAGTTAGAATTCAAAGTAGAAGTAGGCCGTAGTGCCAATGTCTGTGCAAAATCTCCCTCATATCACACTGTGTGGCATATGCTTGTCTTCATTGGCCCAGTAAGAGCTGATCATTACGACGTTAAACTCCATTTCATTTCTTTTTTTTAGTGAATTATTTTAGTTAAATGTAAATTGTTGCAACATAGCGCTATTTTTAGCACCTATATTGATATGTTTTTATTTCGGGATTATGTACAGGTGCTATAATAGGTATATATGTTTATATTTCAGGATTATCTACAGTTGCTATAGTAGTTATATGTATTGTGTTGATTATCGTCGTAGCTGTAGCTGCAGTCGGAGTGTATTTCATAGTCGTTAGGTAATTATGTTAAAATATCAAGAAAATACCATGTCTACTTTGTCTTACAGTAGAAATTATCGCCTAAACAGTTCATGTGGGTTATGTAACGCCTAGGTCCCATTGTGCATTTGTTGTCACGACTTATTGGTCAATTTGAATCAACATTGATGTTATCTTACCGTTTAAAGATGGGCTTCTGATATCCAATATTTAAAACAAAATGAAAATTTAAAAATTGGCCAGAATGTTTTTCGAGCGCCATTTCCAATGAAGCTACTTGATGAACAAATCCCACAGGAGAATACTATATGTGAAGACTTTAATAACCAGACACCAAAGACTGCCATTCAATTTGGACACTTTGCGTGATACGCGGGACATAACTGATTAGAAATTGCAGTAAAAACAGAAACATTGAATGTAAATGGGTTTATATACATTCATATTACATTATTATATGTGTTGCGACCCATTGGCTCGATGGCATGTGCATTGTTTACACATTACGTAGTAACATAAGCTGGTCCGGGTAGAATGGTGCCTTTTACTCTTTTTATCTACCCATTTACAGTAAATAGGATTTATTTTTTATCCAGATATACTAATACTTCAAAAAAAATGTTCTAGAATTTAATTTGCAGAAGGAAAAATGTTAATATTACGAGCTAATTAATCCGCACGAATGTTATCCCCATCAGTGATTGTGTAGTGAACATTCACTGCTGATCAGTGTGATGTCATCCCTATCTGTGATTGTGTAGCGAATATTCACCGCTGATCAGTGTGATTTGTTGTATGTCGAATAAAGTTCCCTACTATAAAGTTGTTGACAATGTTCATAATTCTGAAATAACCATTTTATTTTAGGAGATGTAAAAAACTTATTCAACCATATAAAATTAGAGCTGACCTTGAAGTAAGTATAGGATATATAATATCAATAATATTATCATGTTTAAACTATGTCCAGTCAAATAAATACAGTGTACCATTTACAAGCAATTTGATTGGTCAAGACTTTTAGAGCACGATCACTGTGATTCTAATCGATCACTGTGATTCTAATCGAGTGAAACTTTGTGTATAATTTCATTACCTCAATACCTTGACTAGGAAAGAGAGAGAGAGAGAGAGAGAGAGAGAGAGAGAGAGAGAGAGAGAGGAATGGGGTTTAACGTCTTCCTTGATTAGGGGTGATGATGAGACTTTAATTTGCTTGGTCAAAAACTATAAGTCATTTTAATTGAGGTAGAATGTTCAAAGTTGGTGTAGATGTTTGTTACATGGATGCCTTGGCTGCAGTGCTAGATAATCAGCATTTTCTGCTTAGATTTAGTATAGATAAGCAGTTTGAATTCTCAATGCTTTACAAAAAGATAATTAAATATACAATAAAACATACATTATGCAAGAGCTAAATCTGCCTATTGCAGGTCTTTCTTTAGGCCTGAAATGTTATCTAAATTATTAACTAGATATTAATTAACTTATCCAGTCCGTAATCAACTCTCGATGCCATCGCAAGCCTGCGATATGCCTTGGCTGCAGTGCTTGATAATCAGCATTTTCTGCTTAGATTTAGTATAGATAAGCAGTTTGAATTCTCAATGCTTTACAAAAAGATAATTAAATATACAATAAAACATACATTATGCAAGAGCTAAATCTGCCTATTGCATGTTATTCTTTAGGCCTGAAATGTTATCTAAATTATTAACTAGATATTAATTAACTTATCCAGTCCGTAATCAACTCTCGATGCCATCGCAAGCCTGCGATATTTAGCGGATTGGAATATATTTTTTGAAAATTAAACGTAAAAATGTATAATCAAGACTTTCTATTTTATCGATCCGAGGCCCAAAACTCAAAAGTTAATATCTCGGTTCAGAGTGGAGCAATTTGACTGACATTTTCAGCAGATTCTTTTTACGTTATCGATTGTTTTTAACTATTATAGAGAGAACTGTAATCTCCCGTAATGTCTCTTTAATTAGACATTTATTAACATGACAAGACCAAAACCAACTCTCGATGCCATCGAATGTTTGAGATTTTAACTAGATTATAATGGTTCGGCCATTTAATGATTTAATTTAAAAATGGAGAATCAAGGCTAAGCCTTGAATATACCAGTACCGTGGTTACGATAATAAACAATCAATGCACACATCTTGTCAAAACTACAAGTACTTTGAATGAGAGTGACGATTTTTATCTGATTTAAAAAAAAAACGTTTGAATATATCTCTGTTACACCTTAATGATGGTTGAGTTCGAATTTCGTGAAAATCGGACCAAAATGGCCGAACAAAATGGCCGCTCCCTGTATGCAAATAGTGTAAATAATATATGGTATATCAAGGTTGTGGACCCCCTAGAAGCCACAATTTTGATCCGATTTTGATGAAACTTGAAATACATATTTATTACCAAAAGACCTTGGTTCCTTTCAAAATTCATGCATATCGGATCATAACTTCCTGAATTATGGCCCTTGATTGTACGAAAAATCATGTTTTTAACTTGTGGTCCCTCTAGAGGTCACAATTTTTATCTGATTGAAAAAAACTTTTGAACATTTCACCGTTACACTCTAATGATGGCTACGTTTGAATTTCATAAAAAAAAAAACGGAACAAAACTGCCAGACAAAACGGTCGCCCCACGTACGCAAATAGTGTAAATATATGGTATATCAAGGTTGTGGACCCTCTAGAAGTCACAATGTTGATCCGATTTTGATGAAACTTGAAATATATCCTTATAACCCAAAGATCTTGGTTCCTGTCGATCATAACTTTATGGATTATGGCCCCTGAATGTACGAAAAATCATGTTTTTAGCTTGTGGACACTCCAGAGATCACAATTTTGATCTGTTTTTTATAAAACTTGAAATGCATGTTAATAAACCAAAGATCTTTGTCCATATCGATATTTGTGCATATTGGACCATAACTTCCTGAATTATGGCGACTGATAGAACTAAAAATGCGTGTGGTCCCACTAGAGGTCACAATGGTTATACGATTTAAAAAAAATTCGAAAATATATCACCATTACACGATAATGATAATTGAACTTGATATTGGACCAAAACTGCCCAACAAAATGGCTGCTCCTTGTACACAATATGAAGGTTGTGGACCCTCTAGAGGTCACAATTTGTCAAATTTTGATGAAACTTAAAATATATCTTTATATCCCAAAGATCTCAGTCCCTTTTGATATGGGGGGTTGAATGGCCGAATGGTTAGCATGTGCGCGCTGTATCATAAGGCCTGTCATTGAGTCAACTTCTCCTATATTGTAGATGGGTGGGTCGCCTGTCCAACTTTGTGGGTTTCTCCGGGTCCTCCCACTGCTAAACACCCCTACGCGCAAAAGAATTATTGAAATAAAATTAAACCAAATGACCTAGCCTGTGTCGAGTGGACATTAAAGCCCATTTCTCTCTCTCTCTTTTGATATTTGCACATTTCAGACGATAGCTTGTTCTCTATCCATCTCTTCAAAAATATGGGCATATCTTGCCTGGCAACCACTTGCTCTTTAGTGATATAGACATGAAATAAACAAATTAATGGAGTGATTATACAGGTAGTTATATTATACAGGTAGTTATATTATACAGGTAATATGTGATATCTTATTTTTAATTACATTTTGTTTATCTTTCAGAAACACAATTTTATTTCATCATCAGGTGATTTTATACCTAACAACTCCAATAATAATACTTTATCAACAGGTAATCAGAATGATGATGTCGAAGTGGCAGAAAGGAATTTCAATAATGATAAGAGTAAATTACCAGGTAGTACAGGTGGTACAGGTAGTAGTAAATCTGACACTACAACAGAGATGGATTATCAGAAAATAACATTTGAAAGCTCAGGTGAAACTGATGATGGTACAGAAAAAAATACTGTAGTTAGTCAAGTGGCCATTGATCAGAATCCATTTCCAGTATTTACACATAATAATGAAATCACACGAACGGATAAAATCGATAGCACTAGGAATGGTCGACTTAATGGAATTAAAAATAATGGTTATTTTACACCAGAAGAAATCCAAATGAAACAGTTATCTCCAGCTCCTGATATTACGTCCCGTACAGATGAATCGAGGAGATCGAATCTGGATTATTTTCAAGTAGCCATGAAGAACTCAGCAGACAATGACGATAGTATTGGTGATCATAAGATAGAAGATGAAGTTTCTGGTGATCATAATATAGAAGATGAGGTTTCTGATCATAATATAGAAGATGAGGTTTCTGGTGATCATAAAATAGGAGATGATGCTTCTGGTGATCATAAGATAGAAGATGAAGTTTCTGGTGATCATAATATAGAAGATGAGGTTTCTGATCATAATATAGAAGATGAGGTTTCTGGTGATCATAAGCTGTTGACAGATCCTGAAAATCATGGTAAAGTACAAATACCAATTGCTCAAGAAAATCATGGTCAAGCATTAAGTGCACAAATACCAATTGCTCCACCAGTTAGAAAGTCCAATGATGGTTACTGCACTCATGAAGAATTACAGAAGAAAATAGGAAATCCACTGCCAGATAATCGTAATCCGTCTGGAAATGGTTCAAACATTAATCAAAATTTCACAAAATCACCAAATAAAGAGGAAAGTATGGAATTGAGAGACAAAAGGTTAGAATCTGATTCTAGCGAGGAAAGTATGGAATCGAGAGACAAAAAAATAACCCTTCCAAATATGGAGAACCTCAATGATAACAGATTGGATGAAGTTAACAATGATGAAATTGTTCAAATAGAATTAGACAATGTAAATAATAATTTTGTACAAAATAACGAAACACCTAATTTGATGAATGGTTCACCTTTTAGAATGACCACAAATGATGATTATGTAACACAACAAAATATTTCACAAATGACAAATTATGAGTTAGATACTCATAATCCCAACAACGACCAAAATCAAAATCCGCTAATATCCAATTCCTCGGAATATGTAACCAATGAAGAATTATTAAGAAAACAAAATGAAGGCCTTCCTAAAAGTTAAAAAAAACTTGGATTATGTTACAATTGATAATATTTAAAACATTTCACACAATTTATTGTTCCCTGTCCCCCCGTCTCTCGAAGAAATCAGGGGACTATTAAAATAGGTCTGCTCGCCTGTCGATCCGTCTCTCTGTCCGTCACACTTTTTGGAACACAATAATTCTCCTAATTGAGCTACAATGTTAATTGCACATTTTTCACCAAGCAGTTTGATTGGTTGAGACTTTGGAACATGATAACTTTGATTTTAATTGAGTGAGAGCGATGAAACTCTAGGTATAGATTGATTATATCAATACATTGACTAAGTTCGATGATGAGAATTTTTCTGTATAGGCTAAGTAGTGATAAGTAATATAATTGGTAAAGACTTTGGAACATAATAACTCTGCTTTTAATGGAGGTGATCGTTAGCTAAATGGAGGGGTTGGATGGCCGAATGGTTATGACGTGCGTGCTGTATTATAAGGCCTGTCATTGAGTCAACTGGCCTGGTTTCGAATCCCCGGTTGTACATGACAAGGTGTAGGGTCGCCTTCCCAACCTCGTGGGTTTTCTCCGGGTCCTTCGGTTTGCTCCCACTGCTAAAGACCCCTATGCGCAAGCGAATTATTGAAATAAAATTAAACCATATGTTAGTCCCGAAATGAATTAGTTTGGGACGAGTGGACGTTAAACCCTCTCTCTCTCTCTCTCTCCCTCTCTCTCTCTCTCTCTCTCTCACATAAGGTAAATGTCTTAACTGAGTTCAATGATTAACATTTCCCAAGAAAGCTAAGCAGAGCTAAGCAATTTCATTGGTTGATGTTTTGGGACAAGATAACTTTGATTCTAACTGATGGAGAGTGATGAAACGTAGTGTATAGTTTTACTACCAGGTACTTCAAAACCTTGACTGATTTTGATCTTGGACATTTTATGCTTATTAGACTAAGAAAAGATAATCAGTTTGATTGCTCGATACTTTTGATAAAGATAAATGTCCAATTAATTAATAGGTGTCATCTATTTATTTTGGGATTTTGGCGGGGGGACATCAGCCTAACTGTTGGCTTGTTTTCATATCCATGTCTCCAATTATATTTGATTGTTTTCATTATGGGAATCATCATAACTTTCTTTCTTAGCCTGTTAGGCTCACTACTTTCCATTGTAAAGATATTCGCCTAAATTACTGGATAGATTTCAATCAAATTCAGTAGGGATGTTGCCATGAGGGCTCCCTCCATGAACCCCTTAACAGCAAACGTCCTCATCTAATCTTCTTTCAATTTATGTTCTTTCTTTCGTCAATTGCAGTGAATCAAAATTATAATAATCTCTTGAGTCTTATTCATAGAATTATTGCCTTTGATTATGTCAAAGAATCCTGCAACGTGCAGATTTTGCTTTATTTAAAGGTCGACAGTTACTTATTTAACTTCTGTTGTGATCGTAGGCTTTCATTTTGCCCACAAAGCACAGATTGGCGAATTATTTTAGACCTGGGGATCACGTGGCTAAGTGGGCAAGACGCTGGCTCGCTAGCCTGGAGGTCGGGTGTTCAATACCTGCATTGGCCGAGAAAGTTCATCCAGATTTTCCAGCGTGGTTTCCCCTTGTCAGTGATGCAGGATGGAGGGCCTGACAAGGACTGCTGTCTAGTCGTTCGGATGGGACGAAAAACCGAGGTCCCGTGTACACATTGGTGTGCACGTAAAAGATCCCTTGGCAGTTGGAATTCGATATAAGAGTAGGCAGTAGTGCCGCTGCCCAGGAAAAATATCCCTCATAGCACACTGTATGGTGTATGCCCGTCTTCATTAGCCAAGTTTAGGAGCAGAACAGTAGGACGTTAAACCCCATTTCATTTATTTTTTTAAGACCTTCACTGATAAATGGGGTATTATAAGATGGTTGACTATAGCTGTAAATACGGTATTATAACATTGTTAAAAATGTTAAAATTACAACTTTTAACAAAGTCACAAAATCTTGGAATTGTCTGAATAGTTAGTACCAACAGACGGTCATGAAGATATTTAGTCATTTGGTAATTATAAATATACCGGTATGCAAATGTCAAAACTTTATCGGCATGTTAATATACGCCAAGTTCACTAAAATATCAGGAATTTTAATGTGTTAAAGTTTATAAAATGTTTTAGTTAAGTCTTGTGCTACAAGTTTATAAAATGTTTTAGTTAAGTCTTGTGCTACCGGTATATATATGTTTAAGTTAAGTTTTGTGCTTTTTATATGTTGGTACATTAGAATTATATTAGGTCTGAAATTAAGATATTAATGATAGTGATCTGATATTGAGATATTAATGATAATATATACATGTATAAATATACTACTGGCAATTTTATCAGTATATAAGGATTTTAAAGGGACTATCCCGATTTGAACAGAGTCTCAAAATTAAAGTCTGAGTACGTATGAAATTTAAGTGCCAAATTTTAGAGGAATGGTGTTTTTACCTTGTCTCAAAATTTCAGCTCAAAATATTGAGTCGGTTGGACGTGAACGTCAAAACTGCTTATCCAGACACGTAACCCTTTTAAGATTTCAGGTCAATTTTTTTGTTGGGTGACCCGATAATCGATTCCCATTCCTTTAGAGGTCTATAGAATGAATGACCCATGAGCTGTACTTGATAACGAATGGTAAATTCCACTTACACATTATTTTTATAAAATAAAAGTCTGGTTTTATCCAGACACCGCATAATACAGCTTGAGACACCGGTCTCCATTTCCAGATGAAGACTGGTGGGTTTAAGTTGATTGAAAACGTATAACGTGTATTGAGTTAGTTGCTCTAAGGTAGAGGATTTTAAGGGGTTGTAACACAAAATTAAGCAGTTTTATTCTCAAAAATATAATCAGGATTGGCCCTTCAAATGAAATTGTGTGTGTTCAATCCCTGCGTTGGCCGAGAAAGTTCTTTGTGATTTTCCGGTGTGGTTCCTCCTTGTCATTGGTGTAGGATGGAGGACCTGGCAGGGGACAAGTTATACCGTGTACGCATTGCCGTGCACGTAAAAGAACCCTTGACAGTTGGAATTCGATATAAGAGTAGGCCGTAGTGCCGCTGTCCGGGCAAAATTTCCCTCATAGCATACTGTATGGTGTATACCCGTCTTCATTAGCCCAGTAGGAGTAGGACAGTAGGACGTTAAACCCCATTTCATTTAAAAGAAATTAAAGCAGACTGATATAAATTCTGTCTTCCATTAGTCGTATTAACAGATTATTTTAATATTTTACTGCATATTATTATTACATTAATTATTTCTATATTTTATTAACATATATTAATTTTAATATAAAAAACGATATTTACTGTATAGATATGAATGTTATTAATGAACTTGTTTGATATCATATTGGGTATTCTATATCAATCAACTTGTTTGATAGGGAAAGGGATTTTACATAGGCTAAGCTGTTCCCCAATCCCATTGGTATTCTATGTTATAAATTGGGTCTTCTTATCAATCAACTTGTTTTATATGATATGTTATAAATTGGTCTTCTATAGATAAGTGCTTCCAAATGTATGTAGTCCATACAGCATTAAATAGCCTTTAATTGTCCTGAGAATTCATTTATTACCCTAGGCCCTGTTTCTCGAAAACTTAACTAAAGATAAAATCCAAATTTTAGTAGATACTTTAATTTTGATTAAATAAGCACTAAAATCAGTCTAATATTATCCAATCAAATTACTAAAATTTGGATTTTATCTTAGTTAAATTTTCGTGAAACAGGCCCCTGAAACCCTAAATTCTCATGAAACAAATCATCTGTGACCCTAAAAAACCCGAAGAATTGCCAGCTCTTAATCTAATCTTCCATAATGTATCTTTAAGTAAATATATACATGTAAATCATTATAAATCAGAATTTAAGAAAATAAATTATTTTGAATTGTCATATATATGGTAGTAAAATAACCATGTTTTAAGTCAATGACTTCATGTTTTGAAGCTTTTTTTTGTTCATAGCTGAATTGTTTACTTTTTACAATTAGAATCAAAATACTTTTTATATACCCTTCCCTTACCCTAACCCTACTTTTTATATACCCTAAACCTAACCCTACTTTTTATATACCCATTTATAAACGTATATTCATGTAACCTTGGTGCAACTTTCTTGTGAACACCCTACATGTCCGAGTTATTTTCAAAATTTGCAGCAGTTGACTTTTAAAGCTTGCAATCATAAACAATATTTGTTTACTGTTGTATATTCAAAGCCCAGCTAAGGCATTGTAGTCAGGCCCAGGGCCCCGCTCCTTAGGCATTGTAGTCAGGCCCAGGGCCCCACTCCGGTTAATCTGGGCTTTGTGCATATTAATCAAATTTCTAAATTTTCAGAGTGCAAGTTCTGATTGAGTTACCTGTCCATTCAGATTTCTAATTTTAAATCTTGTGAAGGGTTCTGAGTTCCCTACCAAATATCTTGTGAAGGGTTCCAAGTTCCATACCAAATGTTTTGTTCATCGATATTAATGTGCATCACTTAATTTCAGGTTTCATTTTTTGTTTTCATTACACATTTTAGTGCAGTAGACACTATACAATAATAATTTGTTAATTAATTTTTAATTTCATTTAAAGTATTTTGTATGGTTTTTTTTTTGATATTAAAGGTTTTACATAATACTTTAAACATTTGTTGATAAAATTGAAACTTGGTTTCACTAAAAATAAAGAATTAAATATCAGACTCCCCAAAAAGTCATTTATATGCAACATTCATATCTTTGCAATCTGATTAAGACACAGATCCTATTTCGTTTCATTTTTTATAGTTCATAATTTTCGTTGTAATGGTCTTTACTACACTAGGGTGTGGAAGAGTTGTTATAATTGGCGTGTTCTGAATGATGTGAAGTATTGGCCAATGAAACGGTCAGTTACGATGAGCTTTTGGCATGAGGTGCACGGAACTGTTGGTAATCCACTTGAAACATCAATGCTGATTGGGGGTTTGGATGGCTGAATGGTTAGCATGCACGCGCTGTATCATAAAGTCTGTCATTGAGTCGACTGGCGTGGTTTCGAATCCCCGGTTGTACGTGGCAAGGAGTAGGGTCGCCTGTCCAACCTCGTGGGTTTTCTCAGGGTCCTCCGGTTTCCTCCCACTGCTAAAGACCCCTACGCGCAAGCGAATTGTGTAAATAAAATTAAACCATATGTAAGTCCCCAAAATGACCTAGTTTGTGTCGAGTGGACGTTAAACCCCATTTGGCCATCCAACCCCCCTACTCTGTTACTACAACTACAAAGGCTGGAAAATAGCAAGAATATGTCCGATGTGTCCAAAGGATTCAAAATAAAATGAACTGGGGTTTAACATCCTACACCGACTAGGCTAATGAAGACGGGCATATCGGTACACCATACAGTGTGCTATGAGGGAAATTTTGCCCGGACAGCAGCTCTATGGCCTACTCTTATATCGAATTCCAATTGCTAAGGGATCTTTTACGTGTGCGCCAATGTGTACACTGAACCTCAGTTTTTTTCCCACCCGAATGACAAGGGGGGAATCACGGGAAAAATCCAGATGAAATTTCACGGTCAATGCAGAGATCGAACACCCAACTTCAGAGTTAGCGAGCCAACGTCTTATTCACTTAGCCACCGTGGCTCCCCAAAGGGTTCATTTTCCAGCAAGTATAATGACTGAACAACTAACATAGTAGTCCGAGATCTATCAATATAACTGATCCTTAAAATGGTGTACTGATCGATTATTTGTTTTAGATCCAACCTATTTCTTGGTCAACTGTCTAGGTCATTTCGGGACTAACACATGGTTCAATTTTATTTCAATAATTCGCTTGCGCGTAGGGGTCTTTAGCAGTGGGAGGAAACCGGAGGACCCGGAGAAAACCCACGAGGTTGGACAGGCAACCCTTCTCCTTGTCACGTAGGCTACAACCAGGGAACCAGTACATGTTACATTTCAAGCTAGAGATAGATACCGCGCCCCCTCCCCCATAATGTTCTGTTCATCCTCCAAATTTTAACTTTTCTTCTTTTTTTTTTAAAAGTAGGATGAGTTGAGTAAGAGAGAGAGAGTGAGAGAGAGAGAGAGAGTGAGAGAGAGAGAGATGGGGTTTAAATCCACTTACACAAACTAGGTTAGTTTCAGGACAAACTAGGTTTAATTCTATTACAATAATTTGGTGCACAGAAGGGGTCTTTAGCTGCCTGAGCTCCCGCAGCTTGCTATATTCGTATGAAAAGTTACTAAATATTTTGACAAAAATTATTATTATTATTATTATTATTATTATTCACCAGTGGTGGAAGAAAGCTTGCTTAAGTTTAGGCTAGATCTATTACTTATAAGGCCATCTCAAATTTCATCATGGTTGCTGAGATGTAAATAAGGTTAGGGCACGTGATTGTAGTCGAGATTAGCGCTAGCCCTGTTTACATCTCGTGACTTGACGAAATCTGAAGTTGGCCTTATCAAATAGATATAACCGTGTGTTCAGGAAGTCATTATTATAGTGTCATGGTATTCGAGACTAAATTGTAAACAAGAAGCCCGCGCGGCAGCAGGTGTATTACGTGAATTTGTGGAAAATAAAAGATGTGTAAAATCAAAGTTTATTGACCGATTCGTCTGAAATTTGATGTGTGTTCTTACAAACACGGGAAGAACTCGAACTAGGCGCACAAAGCGATTTGTCCTTTTATAGACTGGTTAATAAAGTCTACATGCATGTTTCGATGGTATTTGTCTCCCTTAAACCATAACCGGACAAGAAATATTTTGCATGTTCCTGAATTGTCTAAACATCAATGAAGGTGAATTTAAAGACTAAACATAGCTAGTTGTCATGAGCAAGACAGCCGGGAAGTAAGAAAAAAGACGTTTTTATTATCTATTTGTGATTAATTGGAAATTATGGATTACTGCGACCGTCAAAAACCACAAAATCAACCGACCTCCATAGTGAGCCAATGTCTTACCCCCAGAGCGACCGTGGCTTCCCCAAAAATCATAATTATTTTGGAGCAGTGGGTTTCATCACTTCTCTTCAGGTGAGGTTGGGGTGGGGTGGGGTGGGTGGCAGCGGTAGAGTGATGTGTTGCAGTCAAAATATGTCATGGCAATTATAGAGTGGGACAGGGAAAGAGGTCGAAGTGTTAAATAAATTAATCATAATGATGATGCTACTTCTAGTAGGGTGCCCTGTGCAGCACAAATTTTCCCTATCGGTAGGGAAAGTTGAGCTCAACATAGCGAATGTGCATGCTTCAGTGGCCTTTCTCGACAAGTCACACGGTGCGACAACACTCAGCTATGAGTCTATAAATAGCCATCGCACATGAAATTCTCTACACATATCTACCACAGTAATGTGTCCCTGGGTGACGAATCCAAACATGCATTGAAATCTCAAAAAAACACTAGGATTTTAAATAAAAAATGATAATTTCGTCTAATGAATAGTAAATTATCAAAAATCGATATAAATTATTGTGATATGAGTTCAATTAATATTTGATTTGGCTGGGTTGGTTTGGGTTAGGGTGAGTTATTAGCCTATTTACACCAACATCAAAGGATGGCATCAGATATGTGAGCCAAGGCTAATCAACTATTTGAATTTGTCAAGGTTAAGTTGTATTTCGTGTTAAAAGATTGAATTTGTTATGTTTCAGGTTTGTTCTGGTTGTGTTGGAGAGTTTATCTGGATCGGGTCATAAAATTATAAAAAAACGACCGAAACTTGGAGATAAATTAGAAGCTGTTATGTTTGATCCTATAGGTAAATATAGGAAAATTTTCTCCATCTTAAATATATAACTGTAAATCAGAAGCCCAAGCAGAATAAGGTTTATAATCCTTAATACACCAGTCTTACTGGACAGGGGGGTCTATTGGTTTAAAGTGTGCACATGAAATGACAAGGTCTGTCATTGATTCAAATGGTGTGGTATTGATTCCCTGCTTGAACATGACAAGAAGTAGGGTCGCCTGTCCAACTCCATGGGTTTTCTACAGGTCCTTTGGTTTCCTCCCACTGCTAAAGACCCCTGCACTCACGCGAATTATTGAAATTAAATTGAACCATATTAGTCCAAAAATGACCCCTCTCCCCTTAATACTTACGTCTTGATTTTGCCTATCTAAGAACTGCATCTTATTTTCTTGTAATATCTTTTTTTGTTTCAGTACAAGAGAATGTATTATTCAGAGAGATGAAAAAACTTAAAACATTACGACGTGGAAAATGAGACCACAATGTTTGATTTTATAAAACAAAAGAAATGAAATGACATTTAATTTTTCCTTCAGCAAGTCGTCACTTTTATCCAATCTGTTGTTTTGAAAACATGTACTCTAGACCGTTGTTCGTGTGTGAGTGGGGTGGGGGTTATAGAATTGACAGTAGATTGAACATAAATAAAAATGTATAAATTTGTAGATTTATTTGTGAGTTGTCATGTATAGCCCAGAGGTCTAACTAACAAGCTATGATGCCCCCTAGCTGTGTTTAAGTGGACATCTGGAAGTTTAAGGAAATGAAATGAAATTAACGGGGTTGAACATCCTACTCTTCTGCTCAGAATGGAAGAATGAAGACAGTGTCCTTCCAGGGAAATTTTCCCCATACAGCCATGTTTTATATCAAATCCCAACTGTCAAGGGTTCTTTTACGTGCACACAGGGATAACCACGACAGATGAACTTTCTTAGGTAACATCATACAAACTGAGCCACTGTTGCTATCACACAGTGTTCAATAATCCCCTCACATGGGTTAAATCAGTAATAACAGGTTAGTGTCAGTGGCATAATGCAGGTTGTCATTGAACGAAAACCATTGCACCTCCTAACCAGTCTGGTATTAAACTCATTTACCCCAAAACCACATGTATTAGTTAGAGTCGAAGGGAAGCATGAGTCGAAGGGAAGCGTAATCTCCTTGTCAAATACAGAAGCGGGGATGCAAGCCTCAAAAGAGAACAAAAATCGAAAGTCCCGAAAACCAATCCTGAAAGAAAACACTGAATATGAGGAATATAGACCCCCCCCCGTCACATCCTCCCCCGCCACCACCAAGTCCAATGGAGAAAAATGGCCCCGTTGACATCAGTGTAAGAGTCCCTGTGCATTTGTTCAATACTAAGGCCGATGCGTCACCCCAACATTATTCATAAGTGCTGTTATGTGCAGGCCAAGTTCTCTTATAAGTCCCTGGTTGTACTGACAAGGGGGAAACCATGGTGGAAAATCACGATGAATTTCCTCTGGCCAATGCAGGAGGTCGGATGGCCGAATGGTTAGCGCATGGCATTGTTTTAGATTCCACTGTTGTACGTGACAAGGAGTAAGGTTGCCTGTCCAATCTGGTGGGTTTTCTCCGGATCCTCCGGTTTCCTCCCACTGCTAAAGACCCCCACCACAAGCAAATTATTGAAATAAAATCGAACCATGTGTTAATCCTGAAATGACCTAGTTTGTGTCGAGTGGACGTTAAACCCCATTTCTCTTTCTCTCTCTCTCTCTGACGATATGTTAGTCCCAAAATGACCTAGTTTGTGTCCAGGGGAGTTAAACGTGGAGTTAGCCCTCCCACCTCTCTCTCTCTCTCTCTCCCATTTGTTTGTGTTGTCTTTGTTAATGTGCAGTGCAATGAATTTGGTTTCTGTATAAATTAATTTCATAGAACATTTGTTGTTTATTACTTGCATTATCTCTGTATTTATTGTGTATCATGTCTTATGGGTGTTTGTTTATGTGTGGTGCCATCCTTACGCACTTATTATTGGCTATGGTAGTGACCAAACGGCAGCATGAATCGCGGATCCACCTAGAGTCTGATTAAGATTGTCTCTTCCCATCTGAACTACAGATACTGTGACCTCCCGGCACACTCCTGCCAGTCATTTTTTAAAAAAATTGTAATTTTTAAAAGGCTTAGGACATTTAAATTCAAGCATTTGCTTTGCCTTATTTCTTTCTAACAAATTTATCCAACAATTGAAATAACCTTTAACTTAATCTCTGGAAGCCCTCCAGCTGATGAAAGCCCCTACAGAAGCCTTTAAATGATATTGATCTCGAAGATCAACATTTTTACAAGTCAGACAGCTTGAAAGAAACTTATGTGAAAACGGAACCATGGTGGCTCAGTAAGTAAAATGTTGGCCCGCTAACCTGTTTGATCCCAGTGTTGGCTGAGAAAGGTTATCCGGATTTTTCGGCGTGGTTAACAGTGGTGCGGGACAGAGGGCTTGGCAAGGGACAATGGATAGTCGTTCGGATGGGAAGGAAAACTGAGGTCCTATGTACACATTGGCATGCATGTTAAAGATCCCTTGGCATTTGGAATTGGATATAAGAGTAGGCAAAATTTCCCTCATAGCTCAGTATATGATACGCCCATCTTCATTACCCCATTCGGAGCTGGCATAAGAGTAGGAAATTGAACCCCATTTCATTTCATTTTTTGTAAAATGTATTTTGCATGTCCATTATCTTATATTTAGTGGTGCGGTATTTTACCGGTCATATTTGTTTCAGAAGTGTGATTGATTAACCATTGCGATACCACTTTCCAAATAGATCCCTCCATCATTATCGGGCTGAATTTCTCTCAAACTGCATGGCGTATCCAATGGGGCTTTGAACCCCATTTCATTTATGTTGTAACAGATTTGGACACCGAAATCGTCAATTCCTTAATCTTAACCCACAGGAAAGTGGTCTTTAAATCTTATCTACCGCGATGTCATTTTTACAATTTTTCGGGGATGGACACGAAACCCCTGTAACCCCCGTTGGCCACCCCTTAATCCGCCCCGAATGTTTCTCGAGTTCCTGCTAATCTGTATATGTTCACTACCCCACTACTTTATAACTAGACAGGTTTTTTTTATCAGACTCGTGTAAACGACCATTTCAGTTTTTATTTTAATAATTTTAATTAAGACAAAGAGAATTCAAACAATAAATGTTGTTTTTATTGATAAAAAAAGAAATCCTTCTGGAAAACTTGGTAAAGGACCCTTTCCGCCTTGCTCCATTCATTGCCAGAAGCTAATTCATTATGGGTCCACTCATTGCTGGAGAATAACTCATCATTGTTGTATTAACTGGTGGAGGGCAATTCATCATGGACCCACTCATTGCTGGACTCATCATTGCTGTATTGGCTGATGGAGGGCAATTCATCATGGGTACATTAATAGCTGCAGAATAATTCATCATTGCTGGATTGGCTGATGGAGGGCAATTCATCATGGGTCCATTGATTGCTTTAGACTGGAGGAGTGTTTTCATGCTATCTCTAACTTCGTTTCCATTAAGTCGATCACGCCAATCACTCTTGACCATGTTAGAAATAAGTCTTCGTAACTCTGCTTGCATCACAGGCTGGTCTGGAATTTCTATGTTCTCTCTGATATAATCTTCCTTTTGTTGTTGAGTGGCTCGAGCTATATCTATGTGTTCTATGGACGAATCCCCAGCAATAAATGGTGCTAAGAGCAGCTTTCCATCGCCCCAGGGAACTGTGGTTTCTGAAAACATCGCCATTACCAGACACCCAGAGCTGAAGATATCGGTTGTAATGGTTACTGTTCCATAGATAACTCTTGGTGGAATGCTATTTCCATAGTCATCCACGGTTACAATTCTATCAAAAGACTCTGGCGGTCTATAATAACGCGGCGCTCTAGGGCTGTAGTTGAATTCATAGTAAGGCTCTTCAATAGTTAGGTTTGGACAAGATCTTGCTAAACCAAAGTCTCCTATTTTGATTGTACAACGATTCTGTAAATAATTTATCATTATGTTGTCTGGTTTTATATCGCGGTGTATTATCTCACGCTCATAAAGATATGATAGGGCATCGATCGTCTGTTCAGTCACATACAGCTTGGTCAAATAATCAGGTTTATTATTAAGAATAAACCCATTCAAATCTCCTGCGTTACAGAACTCCAGCACAATGTAAAAGTTAGCATCTTCCAAGAAACTATCTATGGATCTTACAATATTAGGATGATTTAGAGCTTTTAGCACCTTCGCTTCGTTCTTCAATTTGTCGAGCTTTTCTTTCTCCAAATTAGCTGGTATTTCTTTTATAGCGTACTGGTTGCCATATTTACTTCCCAGATAAACTTGACCAAATGCCCCGTTGCCAATTGCTTCCATGAGGCTGTAACCATGATCTAAATACCTGAAAAGATATATATATATATACTTGTATTAATTCTTACATAAATAACATAAAAAGGGTTATACACATAACAGACATAAACCAAAACTGACCCAAAATTTAGATGTCATGATTAATTACAGGGTTGAAACTAAATGACTACTATATAAAGTCCTCTATTGGATCAGAATTGGAATTTTCTGTCCGAGATCCAGCGTCAAGGCCATATTCGTTTCCTATACAATAATTCTCATCGCAGTTACTGTAAATAGCTACCTCGATATCATTCTTTGGCATGTCTGTCTGAGCAAACTGTCTGGAATTGCAAATCCGTGAAACCAAATGGGATGGGGTGATCCTCAGTCATCTCCCATCCATAATCGGACATATATTAGCTAGCATTTTTACGGTTCACCGACTCTTGAATTGCCGCAGCCGCAAATAAAATGGGGACAATACACCAATTCTAGCCAGAAACTTATCAGTGTGGAAAAACAGAATTATGCGAGAAGTCTTAAAAATCCAAAAACACAAGCCAAAATTAAACAGAGACTCAGGACATTTTCTCCCAAATCTTTGGGTAGGTTTTCTTAATCCCTAATTAGTGTATGGTTTGTATTTCTTTCGATGTTAATCTGTTTTATCTTGAACGACAGAGAACACCAAAATCTACTGGACATGATACGAATTATGATAGACGAAACTGCCCAATGCTACTATGAGATGGATAAGCCCTTCCAGTACATAGGTAAACCATGGAAGATCGACAACTGTCTGAGTCTCTTCCATGAATCAACCAGTATCTTTTAAATCTATGTCAACCAACAATATATTTACCATTAATTGACCATTAATATAATTCATGAGTAATTTCTCCTATTCCATTTATTATTCTTATTATTTATTTGCAATTCATTTAGCAATTTATTTTCTTTTATTCCATTTATAACCGAAGCCTTACTAGACGAAATAAAAACAAAACCACAGTAAGACCAGATACTCTTTTTTCTCTAGCTTTCTTTTTCAGGTACTGGATTCTTCCTTTAGAGAACCAACAATAAAAGGAATGAATAACAGAAACAAAGATGTAACAACGCCACCATACCGGACAACAAACCCAAATGGAAGGAAGAATGGACCAGGACTCAGGCTCACCAACAATCCCCAAGGAAGAGTTGCACCGCCCTGCCATTCTACCGGACAGAACGACCAGAACAACAAAAGGGTTAGTATATATATGTACATAATATGTTCATGTCCGTGAAAATGTCCGTCATTGTCCATGTCTGTTCTGTGAAAAATTCGTATGTTTGTGAACGTATACTGGCACTTTTTTCGTCCTTTGCACATGTTATCCTACTGTTGTCTATTGTCCTATGTACATATATATGAAAAAACCTAATTATCCTCTTTTTCTCACTAATCACATTGTAAATTAATGCACCTTGTACACATAACATGTTATTGTCTGCGATATCACCTCGGTGGAAGCGGACGTAAAATACAACTAAGAAGATGTTTTATCTTGTTTCATCTGCTAAATGGTTTCTAATTTTATCTTCCATTTTATTAATTCTCTACAGGTATTGTTTTATCGACCAAATGGTTTCCAATTGTTATCTATATATTGTTATCTATATATTGCAACACATTTTTGCTAACAAATCTTGTCTGCGAAATCACCCTAGGTTGAAGTGGACGTAAAAACCCCTAACTTTCGGGCAAACTGACTTTTCGGCCAGAAGGGTAAAGTGAAAAAAATTTTTTTATTTCATCTACTTGGCAAAATAAAGTGCCCGAAATCTAATAAAACACTAATTTTACTTTTCTTTTTGAATATCATGAATTTGTACTGATTTGACTATGGATTAAAACATTTTGCCTGGAGCCACTCCACTTTGAGCCAAGGTAAGCTCCGCTTCTTCGCCCCTCGAGGAAGATCAACGCCGCTGTCTGTAAACTCGAAATTTTTTTGGGCATTTCGGGTTCTGCCCCCCTAATTGTCATCCAGTCCGTACGCCTATGATATCCATATAAGTGTTTTAATTTTGTGAAATTGATTTCTATATGTCATATTAAGCATTATTGTCTGTAATTTCGACATTATTCACACTTTGAACTATCTACTCAATGAATAGACTCCACATGGTGTCTGTAATTGAGTAAACCTATCCTTAATGTGCCCTGAAAGCCCGCCATATTAAATAATTGCTATATTATTTTGTAATACGTTTCTAATGCGTATTACTCCTTTACAGGACGAAATAAACGTATTCAAGTTTATTAAATATGAAAATGAAGGCGCAATAAACACTTCTGAAAATTCGCGAATGAAATCGTCGATATAGGAATTAAAATGTCCGCCAACTAGTGTGTATTTTTGGAACATTTTTAAATGTATATTGATGCAAATGAACTACAAGAATAAAACTTCGCATATTACTTAAGTTTTTGCTACATTTAGCAACTATATAATTATTGTACATTAATCAATATTATAGTTTATTTTTATCTTCATTGGATCAATATTATATAGACTAGAATTACAGTAGGTCCTATTTTGATAAAATTCGTCTTGACTTAAATATAAAAAAAATATTGGAAAAACTGTAAAATTTGACTACTCGACTTGTACCACCGTATGCTACTTAGCTAACTAGCGTGGTAGTTTAGATCTGGATGTCGTATGCCGACGGCGAAAACCAAGGAACAATTACTCACATTTGAATACACATGTATTTGAAGATATTTACAAGGGATCTGTGATCCCAGAGCGGACCCATAATAAGTGTAAGATTTATCGTACCGAAACATCCATTACGGACAGCATACAATATTAAAAATTACATATATAACGACCAATAACAACAGGACAAATAATGTATATTATATATATTTACAAACAAAACTAATGAGCTTTTTTTTTTTAAAAATTAGCCTACATTTACAAAGAATGACGGGCATATGTGTCGTTAATTTGTCTAGTATGACAAATAAATAGATACTTTATTTGAGCTGTGGTGGGTGTGCTCTCCATTTCTATTTTGTACTAGTAACACAGTAATTATTATCCAACTTGTGTCGATGATGTTAAGGTATTTAAAGGTTTTCAAGGAAACACACCTTGTATATTTCCCGGTATAATAATCTATATTTAACCTTCATTTTCTTTCTCGTCGAGTTGTTCCAATGGATAATTCACGTACATGCATAGTTAAATGGACACTAAACACATGTTAAATTCGAAACAAGGACCATAGGCGTACGGACTCGATGGATAATGGTTGGGACGGGGCTTAATCTGAAATGCCCGAAAACATTTTGGGTTACAGACGGCGGTGGCGGTGGTTATCGAGAGGCGAAGGGCCAGAGCTATAAAATGCACCCCTATACCTGGTTGAATCACTCACACTACAACGTCAGCAGTATGCCACGACTCACGACAGCTCAGAAGAGCCAGATGCTTGGAAGACTCAACGCTGGCCACACTGCCCAAGCCATTGACAATCACTTCCAGGTCAATGTTAGGACCATCTACAGGCTTCAGCAACGCTTTCGGGCCACCAACACCACGGATGATCGCCCCTGAACTGGTAGACCAAGGGTTACTACAAGGAGATAAGTCCGCCATATTGTGCGACAGCACGTCCAGAATCCCCTCACACAGGCATCTGCACTGAAAAACCTCTTGTGTTGGAGAGAGAGAGAGAAATGGGGTTTAACGTCCATTCGACACAAACTAGGTCATTTCGGGACTAACATATGGTTTAATTTTATTTCAATAATTCGCTTACGCGTAGGGGTCTTTAGCAGTGGGAGGAAACCGGAGGACCCGGAGAAAACCCACGAGGTTGGACAGGCGACCCTTATCCTTGTCACGTACAGCCGGGGATTCGAAACCACGCCAGTCGACTCAATGACAGACTTTATGATACAGCGCGCTCGTGCTCACCATTCGGCCACCCAACCCCCCTCTTTTGTGTTGGATCTCAACACAAGGAGTTGTTTTAAAAATATTCTACGCAAGCTTGTGTTGTTTTACATTGCTTTAACACAAGTTTGTGTTCTTTTCAATGTCTTAACACAAACTTGTGTAGATATATAAAATATTGTGTGTTTTTCTTTTCATATAATTAATTACGTGGAATTTTAAGATAATATTTATTATGTTACTTTATTATCTGTAATAATATGAGTTTTATTTATCGAGAATCTGGATGGGATTGGGGAACTGGCTTAAGGTGCTGGCTTAACCTATATGTAAAACCCATTTTCCTGAATTTGAATGTCGAGGAATTTAATAATTTTTGTAATTATCTAAAACCTTATATTAATTATTACAAATTTTAAGTAAACTTCGTCATGTATGTATAGTGCGATGCGTATTTTACAGTATACTGATATCAAGAGATCAAAGTTTTAGTCGATTAATTATCTAATTATAAACTATTTATTTAATTAGACATTTTGTCTCAGACAGAGACAGAGACAGGTTATTACAATGTCCGCATTTGGAAGTGTCTGATTTATCAATATATTATATTATATTATATAAAATGTTATAAAATCTCAAACGGCACAATCAACACGTCCTTTTGTCAAAGCCGGCTTTATTTTGTAAACACGTAGAATTATATTTGTATATATCAAGATTCAAAGAGCTAAACAAATTTGTTTTGTTGGGTCCGCTCGAGGTTCTTTCTTTTCTCAGCCTAGTTCAAACTATAAACTACTAAACACGGATCATACAGCAAAACTCGACAGACAATTTAAATCTACATTAACAACCCTTCGTGAAAAATATGAAACAACTTTATGATAAACTAAACACACCAAATTCAACGACACAATCAAAATCAGGCTGTTTTAACATGCTCTCATAGATCAGTGTATTACAACCACCCGATTAGATTTTATTACATACTTCGAGAAGGTATTTGTTGAGTAATAACACCTTCTAGTAGTTTATCGAGGTTCGGGTGCTTCCGGAGTCCAAAATGGCCGCTTTATAAAAATGGGAATTTTGGGGATAACTAACCTGAACCCTAATCCTAACCCTTTTAAAAGACTGAACTTGGGTCTAATTTAGTTTTTACTTCTCTTAAAAGGGTTAGGGTTAGGGTTCGGGTTAGTATTCCCCTAAATACTCATTTGTATAAAGCGGCCATTTTGGTATGAGTTCTGGCTTGTTCTGGAATTTGTTGCTTCTAGTGGTGATAATATTTGTACTGTGCGGTAAGAACGGCCAGCCCTCGATAAACTACTAGAAAGTTTTATTACTCAACAAATACCTTCTCGAACTATGTAATAAAATCTAATCGGGTGTTACAACACAGTACAGTATATATCTTTAAATTGTTATTTCCTATTACAACCACTGCTAATTCCTATATTAAAGATTGAGCAGAATTCTGTGGATGACTTAAACAAAACGATGAGAATGGTCAGTTAGTTATGATGTTAACTAATCATTATTTAATTTGCTTGATAACGATAGCTGTATTGAAACGTGCCATGGTTCATTGTTTGTTAATAAATTTCAGAAGTAGTATATTCATATAAGTGTTTTAATTTTGTGAAATCTATTTCTATGTTTTTTATTAGAGTTATAAAATCATAAAGGCTGGAACATGGTATCGAAGTATAAATTTTCTTCTGACATTGTTTTTGTGAAAAACTCGCCCCCGACTCTTGTAATTTCTCGGGGAATTTTACATTACTATACAAAGGACCAGTATGTCGATATATTGCCCAATCAATAGGTAGGCTACCCTGTATTCTATTTTAGTATCATTGTTATTGTTATATTTAACACGTATATATGACGCATGTCTTATAATAATGTTTCACACATTGCGTAATTAAACAGATCTTTTTGTCGTGAAAGCCGGCCATATTAAATAATATATGTACTATTTTGTTATACGGTTCGAATTTGTGGTACTTCTCTATAAGACCAAATAAATATTTTTAATTTTATTAAAAATGAAAATGAAAGCGGAATAATATGTCAGTCAACTAGCTTTGTAAATAAAGAACAAAACTTCGAATATTACTGAAGTTTTTCCTACATTTAGCAACTATATAATTATTGTATATTAATTAATATTAAAGTTTATTTTTATCTTCATTGGATCAATATTATATAGACTAGAATTACAGTAGGTCCTATTTTGATAAAATTCGTCTTATAGCCTAAATCGTTCTGACTTAAATATAAACAAAAATGTCGAAAAAACTGTAAAATTCGACTACTCGACTTCTACCACTGAAGACTATTTAGCTAACTTATAGTGCTGTGATCCCAAAGCGGGACCATTGATGGGTATGTGTGCCCTTATTTTGTCCAGTATCATGAAAGAGTAAATAAATAAATAAATAAATAAATATTTACTTTAGCTGAGCTCTGGTGATACTCAATTTGTTCTCCATTTCTGTTTTGTAGCTAGTAACACAACTATTAGCCATCTTGTGTCGATGATATTAAGGTATTCAAAGCTACATTTAACCCATATACGTCATGTTGCTAGGCGCGCGATTCGAGAGCCTGACAAGCGCGAGACGGAGTTTGCCCTCTTATACTTAGAGTACAATAACGAGAGTTGCTGATTAATATGGTGTTAGTTTTTCTCAGCCAGCTGCTTGGTTGGCTACTCCCACACCTCTACAGTAGTGAACCCTTAACGGAACTAACAGATACAGCCGAGCTCACTCATCCACAGTAATTCGCTCTATCCAGAGGACCAGTTCACTACAGAAGTTTTCTGGTGGCAGAGGTGGGATACAGACTGACAAACCCCCAGTCGGGATACAGACTGACAAACCCCCAGCCGAGATACAGATAGACAAACCCCAAGACGGATACAGATAGACAACCAGGGATACAGATCGACAAGCCTGCGCTAGATAGAGATAGTCAGATCGGATGGAGCCAGATAGCCAGACTTCAAAATTGAAGATGATCAACGCAAACCTGTGTTTCCCGAGGGAATCCATGGAAGAGCCAAAGAGGAAGAATGCATTAGAAAGGCCTCGCGATACAATTTCGATGCCAAGAGCGAAACTGGTTAGTTCTGATGCACAGAGCGTGATACCGAACAGAAGAAAGAGTTAGTATATGAACAGTCGGATATGTCGACTTCAAGGAACAGCTCTGAAGCTCCAGTATGTGATAACTGGTGATCAACAAGTAGTTATCGGCCCGCCCCACCCCCAGTCAGAGCTGAGACTCCTGATGTCATGGGAAGTCCTGATTTAGTGAGAAGTGAGAACAAATATCCTGAATTGCCGAAGCTCAGTAAAAACGAACGATTTAATTTCTGGACCGGCCAGCCGTATAAGAGAATTCAATAACACCAAATGGTATGAACATGTATGTCCTAGTATGTCCAGAAGGAATAGGATTACTCCTCAGCCATTTGATGGAACGATCTCTATTATGGATTATCAGATTCATTTCAAGACCCGTGCTGAATTGAATGGATGGGATGAAACAGAAAAGGCTTTGTACTTGGCCGGAGTCTTAAAGGGCAGTGCGCAATCTGTGTTGCCATCCATGCTGACGGAAGAGCGAAGAAATTATAATAGACTAATAGAGGCTCTCAGAAATAGATTTCTACCTCCAAACCAAACCCTCCAACCTCGTGGGTTTTCTCCGGGTCCTCCGGTTTCCTCCCACTGCTAAAGACCCCTATGCGCAAGCGAATTATTGAAATAAAATTAAACCATATGTTAGTCCCGAAATGACCTAGTTTGTGTCGAGTGGACGTAAACCCCATTTCTCTCTCTCTCTCTCTCTCTCTCTCTCCAAACCAAACCCAGATGTACAGAGCAGAGCTTAGAGCTACGCGCAGGAAAATTGGAGAGACCCTCCCAGAACTGGGGCAGGCGGTAAGAGGAAAAGTGCAACATTGACAATCGTTTCATTGAGATTGTATGAGAGCATCTCGAATCGACCAGAGTTATCACCAGTTGGAGACGTACTAAGAGCTGTCAATTTTCACTTTTAATCTTGATGGAGCTGAATATAGACAGGAAGCGGTAGTAGCCGAGATTGGATCCCAGTGTATCATTGAACTTGATTTCATGCAAGCCCACAGATGTACTTTGGATATTACTGGGAAATGATTGACAGTCGAAGATGTAGAGCATCCCGCCCAGATGCAAGGATGTATTGATATTTGCAGAATCCAGTTAGCTGAAACAGTTACAGTACCGCCAAAACATGAACAATTGGTTAAAGCTTATTTGAAACCAGTCAAAGCTCTTTATGTCTACCCCAGGAATAATTGAGCCTGTTGAAGATTTCGTAAAATAAATAATGTTATACCTGCCCGTACTTTAGTTGAGGCGAAGGAAGACAGACATGAATTTACCATCAGAGTCATTAAATTCCACGGTTGTTTTAAATGATTCTTCAAAGTTTGCATGTGAAACTAAAGCTTTGGGAGATCATAACTAAAGAGGTTAATATTTATGGACAGGTTGCAATTGGTGCGAGTGGGTGACTATCATACTGCCTATAACGGGCTAGGCATAGTAATTGGCTGAGCTAGAAATTCAATTATTGGACGGTGGTGGTCGAGTAAGGGGATACTTGTGATCAAAGTTTTGAGGTCGGATCGGGAGCATACAATAGCAAATTCTTGCATTTTCCAAACTCATCTAATTTGATACCAAATTGTGGTTAGAAGAACTAAAGGTAATTTAAATTAACTGTGTGATGAGTTTTATGGGAGTTTATTCCGAAGTTTTGAGACACGTATTCTCATCCATTCTGGAATGGTTGACATTGCTCCCAACAAGTAAAGGGTCATCCGACCTGTATCGGAATTAGTGTAAATGTGTTTATATTGATACTGTGCGTATGTGTTAGTTATGTGGTAAATATGACATAAAATTAACCAAGACTGATATACGTATAAATACGTGTATATTGAGGTATTGTATGTATTATAAAGTACGACGCCCGTCAGTTACAAGACTTTTTTTTTACTATTGTTTGGTTGAATACGAAATATGCAGATACTTTATTTAGGGCTTAGTTCAACTCGGTTGGTAGTTTCATAACTACTGAGGCGTGAGTTAAAGGGCCATTCATTCACGTGCAATTACTGGGATGGCTGATTGTCTTTTTTGAATACGCCACGAATAATTTTATTTCAGCATCCATTTTATGTAAACCATATAATTAAACACGGTGGGTTTGACGTCATATAACTAGAAAGAAACTGTTTGGTGAGATGTTTGATCCTACAGTCGAGTCTTGTTTATAGTGTAGTGTTAGAAAAGGGGATAAACTGTAGTTAGACGTTCTTAATATTGAACTCACATCGTTTTTAGATCACGTTTGTGTATAGAAGATGGCGTATCAAACTATTTCTGAGACACAAGCATAACCGAACATAACGATGGAAGAAGGATATTGGAAAACCTCGCAGTTGGAGTATATTACATGTCAAGCAGTGCGTGACTTACCCAAGAAATATAGTGATATAATATATTTATTCATACCACTATTTAATAGGTGTGCATAAATCGGGGGCATAATATTTTAAAAACGAGACATACAGACTATATATAGTCTAACAGTAGGAATTTATAATCATCTATATATCTTTAATCACAATAAATGGGTACAAGTTCTTCATTTTTACATTACTTGCTGAAATTTTGAACAACACATGTACATGCTTTATATGCACACTTTTTAAAACTAACCCCATACAATACAGAGTTTCTAATAATTGGTACCAGGCAGCAACCTGTTTGTTCGTTAGCATTCGCGTTATCCAGGGACGTACATAACGATTTTGTTTGAGAGGGGGGGGGGGGTGTTCAGCAAAAATGCGACCGACTGATGCACATGTCCCTAATACCACAGATGACAGCTTTCTAGGGGCCAGTAGCTGATCTGGAAGCTGGGAATAGGGGGTTGGGGGTAGGGCGGTTCCAAATCTAGGACACCATCCACAATCCCACCCCACAATGATGGTCAACAAAATACTGGCTATAACACTGTCTAAGCGCCCTGCTAGAACATAGATCGTATTGTCTATATAGTTGTTCAAGTTTATTCAAGTTCACATAAAGTTTATGTCATATAATATGATGATTGTGAACCTTAGGTGCAGTGGCTATAACACTGGGCAACCTGAGAAAATTTTGAAAAATTGAATCAATATCCTGACACTTGAGGTCATTGCTGTGAGCAAATTCTTGTGAACAAGAGAACCAGAACATTTGTACTGTGGTACTACTAACTGGCCCAGGCAGTTCACTATAACCGTGAATACTATCGCACTTTCTATATTACGAATTGAGAAAATCCATCATCAATCCAAGATGGCGAGAAATGGCTTAAAATGTCAAATATCTCTGAAAGGAAGAGTTTTAGAACATATAAATGTGCCAGTTATCGGCCGCTTTAGAAAAATTCTGTCTTTGAATAGTAATGACTAATCTTAATATTGTTGATACTATTGGGATACAATGTAGATGTTTTCTGGTATAATATGGAATCCCTGTTTCAATTGTTTCTTTGACGAGTATTGAATCCCAAATTTTAAAATATTATCATATTGAGGAAATATCACTATTTTTACAGTTATCGGCCACCGACAAATCTAATTCCGGCTATTGTGATTTCAGTTTTTGGTCATAACTATACCGATTACTGAAATATTTGTTTGCTTCTTCGGCCACATATTCATCTGTCTATAAATATATATTGAAATCACGTGCCTCACACAGAATTTTATATCTTCTGTAGAATTGCCAGGATCTTCAGGTGCAACAACTGGTTCAATATTTTCTGTAAATGGGATGTGTGCTATATCAACTCCCATCAGCTAGTATTACTTTCTCTGCGTGAACCGGATCTACACCATTATCTTGAGTTAGCAAGGGGTTTACTAACTCCAATGGCATAATGGGATGAACTTGTATTCTCACATTTTCTTTCTGGTGATAACAACAGCATCAATATCACTCTACCCGTTTTGTATCAAGTCTGTTAACACTATCAATGTTATTTTGTAATTTGAAATGTCCGTTTCATTTTTAGATACTATGTCAAGCCTACTAGACCTAACCAGTCCCTAAAGAAGCTATATCAAATGGTTTTAAGGCCTGTGGGTTATTCCTATTCCATCCCGACGCGTTTGATTTTTTTTTCAAAATGTATTAGAGATAACCATTCATCTCTGTCAATGATACGAAATTTTAATATTTGAATCCCGAATAACGAAATACGTTCTGTCTCGTTATTCTTTATTCAAAATTTGAATCCCGAAAAACGAAACAGGTTCTGCTTCGTTATTTGCTATAAGTAAGGTTCCGCAGGCAGTACGAACTATGAACTGCGAAGTGTTTTTGTGCTGATGTCATGACTTCGTGTGGTGTCATTGACATAAGGGGCGTTCGGTTCGTCCATTTTCTACGAAGAAATCGGGAAAAATTCGTGGTTAAAAAACAAAGTGCGAAATCGTGATTTTCTCGCCTGATTTGTGGATGAAATTCGTATTTTTGCGGTTTTATAGAAAGCTTGGACATTCAGTAGAAGGTTAATGAGCGTCAGAGTGGTAGGCAATTGTGCTGATTTTGGGCAAATTTTCGGGCTATGAAACTTGGTTTATTTTTTCCGATAGTCGGTGATAAGATCAAATCATCTCGAATTCGATAATAAAAAATAAACAAAACAAAAAAAACAAAACACAATGCAATGAGCTTCTTGGGGACTGAAATTTGATTTGATTTGATATTTTATTCCTTGTTTCAGGTGAACAACCGTGGAACTAAAGATCGTACTTCGGACTTCGCATTTTGGCGGAAACGGAAAATCTGTCAAGAAGGAAGTACAAAGCCGTGTTCGTTGTTCGTACTTCGTACTGATTAACGAAACACGATTTAAATTCACACTTCCTGTTTGGTCTTCCAAAATGATGATAATGTACTGATCACATGTGATGCGAGCGTTTTTTTTTTATATGACAGTAAATGTCACGTGTATCAATTAACTAATTGTGAAGATGTCTAAGTTGAAGCACAGCATTATCACTGTTAATTAATATTAATTTTTAGATGCAAGGACTTGTTCTCAACGTGGTGGGGGTTGCCTACCGGCTGTTGTTTGCACCGGCACCGGCCAAATCATAGCGGCTACCGATTGTGCTGAAACAGTAATATGTTGTTCTTAAAGGTAGGTTCAGTTTTAAGTTAAAATAAAATGTTTAATTGCGTTGTGTTCGGGCAATCACTACACGATTATTTTTTATACGTGGACGTACATCGCCGTCGCCTACAGGCCGCAATTCTTAATTAATACTTATTCCTTATACCCTAAGGATGATCCCTAGTGTGTTTGGTGCATGCCCGACCCGCAGGGGCAGAGCCACGCCCATTTCATGTATTTGTTAGTCGTCTATAGGCCGCATTTCTTAACGCATCATCTTGATACTTATTCTTTGTACCCTCGGGAACACCCCTTTTGTTTGTGGTGAATGCCCAACCCCCAGAGGCACGCCCTTTTTTTTTGGTGTGTCTGTGTGTCACTTACAGGTCGCAATGCTTAATCGATCGTCTTGAAAACTTTTCATACTTATTCGTTATACCCTAAGGCTGACCTACTATTTTTGGTACATGCCCGAACCCCAGGATCAGAGCCACGCCCAATTTTTGTGTTTATCGTTTACAAGCCGCAATTCTGAATGCATCAGCTTGGTACTTGGCATATGTATTATGAATGGATTATCTTGGAACTTGGTATACTTATTCCTTATACCCTGAGGACGGCAACTATTGATGGTGGTGCACCATCCCCTCCTCCCCTGCCCTGCCCTTTTCGGCGGTGTCACACCCATATGTTGTTGATATTTTGTCTGTAAATGATATAAGTGTTGCAATTATTAACAGATTTGGATCCAATTCGGAATGATCCAGCATAGGGTTGCACCTATATATATTGCTCCATTGCCAACCACCAGGGGCAGAGCTATGCCCAGTTTTTGCCCTTTGCATTCTTGTCATATTACAGCCATTTCATATTTCATTCTCTTCATTTTAAAAAGTACCATATCAATCAAAGCAGGACGTTTATTGCAGCGTTAGCGATGCTCTTGGGTTTTTTTTCGAAAGTCAGCTTGTTTACTAGCTGAAGTAGGGCGCGATATACATACGATTTTCACCTCACCGATAATTGGCAAAACTTCTGTGGTTCCCAGAACGATCAAATGAGCATGAAACAGTGTAGAACAATATCGCCGGCATTACTGGAAAGTAACACAAAATATACCATTACTTACATATAAAAATGAGACTGCCATGAACAATACCTACAAAGCAAATGTATTAGGAGAGATATATATGCGGACGGCAGTAGCAACAGGCATTCGCGGAAAACAAAAGAAAGTTCTTAAAGAATACAAGAAAGCTAGTGCACAAAGATTGGGGTGACAATACAGGCCTCAATACCCCCTCACTATAGATTAGCTGAACAAAGCATTGCGGACCAAAGTTCAGAAGGACTAGACTGTGTTAAATACGCAATGCTAAAAAATCTACCCGAGAAAGCACTCGAGCTAGTCCTGGATATCTTTACAATTTGATTAAAACACAGATCCTATTTCGTTTCGTTTTTTATAGTTCAAAATTTCGTTTTACTTGTCTTTACTACACTAGGATCTGGAAGAGTTGTTATATTACTGGCGTCTTGTTTGAAGTGGGGGATTTGCCAATGAAACGGTCTGTTACGGCGAGTTCTTGGCTTTTTGATGCACGGAACTGTGGGTAAACAACTAGAAACGTCAACGCTGATTGATTAATCAATGTCTGACGTCATAGGGTCAACTCCCACTACAACTGGTCAGATCTTCATGTAGTAGGGGCCATCGAAAGTATAAAAAAACCCGAAATAAAGATCTGTATTTTAATTAGATTGGATATTTGTAAAATCTCTTGGTCTGAAGACAAAAACCCAAAAGAATGGAAGACTGTTCACCAGGATATTTTTTTTTTCAATCATTTGTATTTGTATTGCTTCTTTATTTTTTCCACGGCTATCATATAATAAAGTTTAATGCGTTAAATTCATTTATAAAATTTGATATTGCGGTGGCATTCCATTGTAGATTTCGTAAACAATTATACTTCCATGAGAAACAAGGCATGATTTATTTTTAACAACTGATTCTCATATACATATTAGAAGTTAGCTGCGAATTGACAGTAGTATTGATGTCAACATGTTCTTGTCTTCGTTTGTATAGAAATTCACAAATATTCGATGATAACTGCTGGTAGCATGGTGCCACCAATGTCTTACATATAATTTATTGTACTTATTGCGTCTTAATCGGTTGTATTTATTTAGGTAAAAAATAACGCCACGTGCATCTTTCGTACCATCAACGCCGCAATGCGTGTGGGATTCTAAAGTGTAGGCACTGGCAGAATTTCTATAAATTTCTCAAATGATAGATTGATAAAGGGGAAGACCAACGATTTCCAACAAGGTTTCCATAAATCTTAAATATATATACATATATAACCCCCTCTGTAAAACAAGCAACCAGTGGCTGCCAGGCAGGATACGTCCATATTTTGCAAGAGATGGATAGAGAACAACCTAAATAAAAAGCGATTTTTCGAACAATCAAGGGCTATAATTCAAAAAAGTTACGATCCGATATCCGCGAATATCGACAGGAACCAAGATCTTCGGGTTATAAAGATATATTTAAAGTTTCATCCAAATCGGGTCAAAATTGTGACTTCTAGAGGGTCCACAACCTTGATATACCATATTTTTACACTATTTGCGTACGAGGGGTGGTCATTTTGTCCGGCAGTTTTGGTCCGATTTTCACGAATTTCAAACTCAACCATCATTAAGGTGTAACGGTGATATACTAAAATGTTTTTTTAAATCGGTTAAAAAGTGTGACCTCTAGAGGTACCACAAGCTAAAACCGCGATTTTTCGTACAATCAAGGGCCATAATTCAGGAAGTTACGATCCGATATGCGCAAATATCAAAAGGATCCAAGATCTGTGGGTTATAGACATGTATTTCAAGCTTCATCAACATCAGATCAAAATTATGACCTCTAGAGGGTCCAGAACCTTGATATACCAACTGATTTCAACATGATCTCACTAAGCAGGGTGGAGCGTAAAAATGTCCCCAAGAGGGTTACGTAAACCACCCTGCCCCATTGATGCTATATTCTTATGTTATATTTTATGTAAACTTAAATTATGATTGATTGTACATCCACGTGACTAGCCTTAAATGTTTTTTTTTTGTATTTAAATATATTCATATAGATTAATTTTACTAAGTGTACAATATGTGATCATAGGACCAAAGTTCTATACTG